GCTCAAAGTGGTGAGGGTGGTCTCACTTCGAGTTCTCTTGTTACTGCTGCTGCCGCCGCTGCTGCTGACACCGCCGCTGCTGCTGACACTCCCTGTCTTCAGTACAGTCACTCTGCTTGCTGCACTGGCCTTGCCGCACAGCCACACTGAAAAATCATCCAGCGACAGCTTCTCCGGATCGAAATTGGCGATCATCTCGCCCCAGTTCAGGCGCATGCCAGCCGGCAGCTTGGCAACAAGTTCCTGTCGCAGCTGAGGGTTGCGCAGGTGCCCAGTACTATTCATTAGCTTCATGGTCTGCACCAGCCCACGCACAGCAGTTGAGAACTCTACGAGCTGCTCAAAGTCGTCGGCTCGCAAAGTGCGGAAACTCTGAGCACGGGTAATGAGGTGGTGCACCACGTGCTCGGGACGGCCAAAACGCTCTTGCAGAGTGGCGAGAATCTCCGGAACATTGTCTGGGACAGCCAGCATAAACTGGACTGCATCTCTGGCCTTGCCCTTCAGCGCACGGTGCAGTCGGCTGAGGTTCTCTGCATGCGAAAACCCACAGTCCCGGGTTGTGGTGTCGAACATCTTCTTGAAGATGGGCCACTCTTCAGGCTGCCCGGCAAACTGTGGCAGATCCTTCCCAGCAGCTTGCCTGGCCATATAACCCTTCATATGGCGCTGTGCTGGGGTGTCTGAGGGCTTCTGCGTGCCTACCGCTGCCAGGATAGCTCCAGCGAGCTGCGCGATGTCAGACTGCGGCTGCTGCGTAGCATCTGACTGCGGCGCCTGCTGCTGACGTACTGCCGGACTGCGTACTGTGGCTGTTGACGTTGCTGGTGGCTGCGTGACATCTGACTGCGGCGTAACATCAGACTGCGACGACTGCTGCTGACATACTGCCGGACTGCGTACTGTGGCTGTTGACGTTGCTGGTGGCTGGTTAGCTGTGGCTGCGTGGCCACCGCCAGCAGACACTGCCACAGCTGCCTGGCGAGTTCCACCACGTACAGACTGTTGGGCTGGCTGGCCTCTTACACTGCTGCTACTACTACTAATGCTAGCACGCGTTGAGCGCCTTGATCCCGAGTACGCACTACTACTAGTACTGGAACTGTCATGCTGGCTGTCGATGGCTTCATGCTGCATCGCCAGCTCAAATTGCAGCAGTCTCCTCTGCGACTCTATCTGTTGCTGCTCCAATTCAGCCAGCTTCTTTGCAGCCTCGTACTCAGCTCGTAGGTGCGCACTCCGCGCACCGCGACTACGCGCACTGCGACTACTAGTAACGCTAATACTGTCCACACCAATGGACTTCAGACTGAGCACATCTGTAGGAGTTGCATTTTAATAGAAAGTATATTTTTCGCAGTAAAAGAGTATTTATTTGTAGAGCTTGTGTTGATACAGATTCCTAGGTTCAAACCCCAAGATGGGCAGTTAGTTACATTTTTTCTCTCCTTGCGTATTTTGTATCTGCATGTTATTACCCTTTCCGTGAGTCGCTCGTGAGTAATGTATGAGTCGTGTATGGCTAAACCCGTATTTACCCGTATGACTGCTGCTAGTGTTATTGTTCTAGAACATTGGCATAATTAACCAATCACAGTTCACAGCTCTGGAATATTCTAGAATTTCGTCGTACACTGGCACTGGGTGATGGTGGCAACGACAAATTCACCGCAGCGTCAAAGGCAAGCTGAGCGTCAGACTGTGTCGACTCCAGCCATTCACCGAGCCGATCTGGCGCTCTCCCTCTGGTGGTTCTGGTGCTCTTGCGCGACATCTCAACAGCAACGATCGAAATGCACACTCAAATTTCAAAAATATACACTATACGATCGTAACACAACGAGCTACGGAATACAGGGAAGCTTTACTTCAGGGCTGTTCGATTGGCTCCGGATGCACCTCCGCACATCCGGCTCGAAGGACCAAATGTTCAGGGCAATACGGACAACCCAAGTCACGACCACACATCGAAAACTACTGCTCGCTTGAAGACTGTATAAAGTGTATTCACAAACAACAACAAATCTGAAAACCCTCAAAAAGAAACTAAAACAAAAAAGCCACGAGGTCCGCTCAGTGCCTCGCGCACCAAGACCATCTACGAAAATGGAGGCACCGCAGTTCGCCCTCAAGGAAACAGCAACTATTGCAGCGAAGCGGTGAAAACTGCAAGAAAGCGAAAGCCATACATCACGGACACAACAGAAAAAGCCTGTACCAAAGAAAGCGCATCGCTAGCCGCGCAGCATTGTACACACACAGCGCACAGTTCACTGTACATTTGGCAAAAAAACATAAAAGAAAATCAAGACAGTTCAGAGCGCAAAAAACACATGTTCACGTCATCAGGCAGGAACAATGTAGCTGGCTGTCGACCCAGAGTCGAAGAGAGCAGTACACTCGACCACTCGGTCCTCGTTCTTCAGCAATACTGGCACAGTCATGAATGAGATCCCATCATCGATGAACGTTGTGCTGCTAGACGGGTGCAGGACTGAGTCTGCACTGGCATGGTAGGTCACCTTCTCGCTTGTAGGCGTGCCGTTGGCGGACGCTCCTGCGGTGGTGCGTGTGTTGGAAGCGCTCCCTTTTTGCTCTATGTGCAGCATAGCATGATGCGTCTTCTGACAGACCGTACACTTGCCGGTGTCACACTTGTACGCTCTGTGCCCGGGCCGGAAACAGCAGATGCACAGACTACTGCTCTTGACTAGCTGCCAGCGATCAGGGACAGACATCTTCTCAAAGGCAGGACACCGCTCCAGGGGGTGACTGCCGCTGCACTTCAGGCACTGTGCACTCTGCTTGGGGGGACCGGCAGCATACGATCGCTCCGCCCCCCTAGGGTTCCATGGTCGGTTCTGAGCTGGACGCTGCGGTGGCTTGGACAGTGCAGGCTTCTTCTGATCTTGGTCAGACTCGGTCAGCCTGGCATCAACTTGACGCAGGGTGTGCACTCGCTTCATCAACCAGGTGGATAGTGTCTTCACGTTCGTTAAAGAATCGTCATGAGACTCGACAAACCTCGTCAACATCCCGCGGGGAAGCTTCTGCGTGATTGCGATGTAAAGATCACGGCCTGGTGTTAAACTGGCAGTTGACATGTTCAACAGAACATTCCGCAGTCTGACGGCCAACTGCTGCAGCTTGTCGAAGTCCCTTTCTGAGGTGATCCGTGGAAGTGCTAGAAGTTCCTGCTGTTGGCGCTCGAGCTCGCGGTCATTACTCCCATACCACTCATCTAGCTCCTTGAGCGCAGCGCTGTATGCGCCAGGGCCATCCAGCAGATCCGCAATCAGGTCATCTGCCGTGCCACCTTCTAGAGCTTCCCTTAGACGGGCCATCTTGTAATCTTCTGAGACCATGTGGTCGTCGTCCACCAGCCTCAGAAACTTCTGCCTCCACCTGATGTAGTTCTTCTGTGAACCATCAAACTTGGGTAGTTCCAGTGGCTGGATCTGATGTTGGCTGATACCACTGAAGGGTGCACTCTGAACGCCCTGTACCCAGCTGCTCACTCTGTCAGCTTTTCCACGTGCTGTATCTGAAGCTGCCTGAGGCCACGATCTTCCCAAATGACCTTGTACTACTGGAGTAATCTCCATACTACTACCACTAGGCTTGTCAAGCCCTACAGCGACCGGAGCTGGCGTCCTGTCAACACCGACAGGGGTGGACACTTGTGTTTCAGCAGGAACGCTGTCCTGCTGTTCGGTCGCTTTGTCTGCGGTGGAGCCATCTCCATCAAGGCGAGAAACGCCACGGCTCTGGAGAGTCTCAGACTTGAGCTCCCCGTTCAACCGGTCGTCGGTTTTGAACGCTTGAGCTACAAAACCTGCAGCGGGAGGACCAGCGGAGACGCTTCGCTCCGTGACTGCCTGGTCGTCATCGTCAGTCTCATCATCAGACGCCGCCATCTTCCGCGCAAGCAACGCCAGGCTCTCAGCGCAGGTCTGAAATGACGCGTCAGTGGACGGCTCCGTCTCCTCCGGACGTCCCTCTGACTCTAGTTCGTCTCCTTCAATGGAAGCCAACTCGGCGTCTAGCTCCAGCTGCAGGATTCTTTTCTGTCGCTTGAGCTGCTGGACTTCAAACTCCTGCTCCAGCTTTGCTAGCTGCACCGCCGCCTTCAACTCCGCTCTGCGACGCCTGGAAGCAGTAGAGGAAGCGGACGATGTCAGGGAAGAGACACTACTCTTCGTATCGTCTAGCTCTGCCTCAGGCTCTCTGAACCTTACTGGGGGAACACCTTTCGTGCTCCTGCTACTTTTTCTAGGTTCCGCCATTTCTCTAATCACTGCACTGGTAGATCTACGAAATGACAACTCTCGAACCGATTCGGATCCACTGATCCGGCTCGAAGGACCAGATGTTTGGATGCAAGCACCCAAACTACCAACAATAGCTCATAAACTCACACTGGAGTTATTGTCTTACTTCCATACTTTTACAGTCTTGATAATCATGAGCAACAACAGAGAAGGAAAAAGGAATCTGACTTGAAAACAACTAAAAGCACAACAACAGCAACAGCTGAGAAAACTAAAGTCAAAAGTCCGACTCAAAACGGAACTATAAGCCGGAACTGTAGTGTAGCAACATAATGCATAGATACACGGGAAAAGAGCCGGCACACGCACGCAGCGCACGCGCAAAGTGAAAGTCTAGACATCAGAGCATGAATACATGAATGCGTGACAGCAAGCGCGCCTCAGGCACCAAGACACAAGATCACTACAGACATAACAGAGAGATGAAACGCACACAGCAGATCCTAGACAAACACAAACTGGAGCATGCAGGCAACTGAACACAAGTCGGACAGAGCTGGATAGTAATTATAACACTGAATGCATGAGAGAGTAGAATCACCTGAACAATCATTGTGTGATATAGCTAATATCCAACAGAATAACTTTTCAGTGTGCACCGGGATGTTCACTTCATTCAATTCTCCTTTGATGGTGTGATGGTGTAATGGTGCGTTTGACCACTTACAGTGAGAAACAGGCAAGGTTGTGCTCAATAAGTCCAGCATTGCCACCGACATGCCCTTTCACTTCAAATGAAGAGCTCTATCAGAACTGGAGACTGGCAGTAAGTCTGTGTCAGTGAGAGTGTCAAAGAGCATACAATCATGTTCCGTGCATTGCACTGATATTGCCCGTTGTTTGCAGTTACCGTTATGTGGTCAAGGCTTGTCTTGGCACCTGGACCTTGTATGTAATAATGAAAGTGACCAAGTAAATTGTCCAGGCTCTGCACAGTCCAATATTCTTTGTGCCAGTTGCAAGGACATGCACAGCTAGCATGCTGGTTAAAAGATCAGTCATGGTCATTGCCACATTGACCACATCATTTTTTTTAAATAAACTGCACATGCGATCATTCTGCACATAGCACCTACAGAAAGATAGGACCTTGACAAAACGATGGCGATAGGGCAAGGATGGGTGTGCATGCGGTTGCTACTGTAGAGCCGCTGCAGGTCACAATGCAACCCTCAATGTTATACAAGTACTGGTTATACTAGTCCATAGTCGTTTGGCAGGTACAATGCATGCAGCGTATATTGTTGCTTTCCTACTCTTTCAGTACGGCTACAGTAGTGTTGATGGGGAAAGAAGCAGCAGGAGTGCACACTTGATTGCCAACGTCCAGTTTCGTCCGGGCAGCCAGCTATTCTCGTATCCTCTTGGGTAGTAGTCTAAGCAGCAGTGTCCGGGGAGGCTTTTTTTAATATTGTACACCGAGGCCCAGTTGATTGGAGCCACGCATTGTGAGATGAGTTTCAGCTGTTCATGCATCAGAAGTACGATGTGTACTTTAAAAGTCCCAATATTCTGCCAGTGATATCTGCATATGCATATCCCATGGCAAGCATTTTATCTAGGTACCCTATGCAAATAGCATTATCCATACATACGTGCCTGTTAGTGCCATCTTCCACATACTGAAGTACATATATCTTTCCATAGATTCCTGCACTCAGCGATCGGTGTCCAGTTCAGTGTTCTGGTGCATTGTAAATTAGCAACTATTCTTCTATCCTAAACTACGTCCGGCTCATCCCTAACGAAAATTGTAAGATATCCTCTTGCGTGCATCCGCGAGAACCGCTTCTTCTACAACAACCGCTGTCCAAATGACAAGAAGGCGATTCACATGTTCTTGGCCGACATCCATCGAAAGTCCAACGGGATCTGGTCCAGTGTCCTTGATTTCGAGACGGAGACATCACAGCAGCCTCTCTGCAAACTAATTCAAAGTCATCTTCAGAGCAACAGCAGAGAGCCTCTGACTTTCATGCAGTCGGCTGTCTTGAAGGATCGCTACCAGGCGCAGGTACCGAGAACAGTAACAGTCTCGACCATGGCGGCATGTACATCTGATCGGCCGGTACAACAAGAGCGCATACATGTATCAGATCGTCCAACACATGCTTCGCTTCCAGCACGAGGCACCGGAGTTATGGTATCAGCCGGTGTTGAGAGATCAGCACCCGTTGTTCCCCGCTTTATGTCCAAGAACGAGCGTATCAAGCTGACCTTTGCACGGCGTGCTGCCAATAGTATGAAGAAAGCCACCACTGACGAGAGTACAGCCAGTCATCCGCTCGGAGTGTTTGCCAACAGTGCATCAGCAGCTGAGCGATTTCCAAGCAACCCCAAACCCGTAAAGGTCACGTTCTTTTCACAAGCGGCACCAAAACCAACCCTTTCGCAATCCACACAATTGAAGATAGCAGCTAGGAGTGCTGCAAATTCAGCACCGCAAAAGACGAAGGGACAAGCAGTGTCAGCAAAGATGCAGTCGTCCAAAGCTGGAAACAAACCCGCGAAGGTAAGTAAGATAATGAGTTCTATTTCTATAGTGTTGCAAAACTTGACTGACTCACAACCATCGTATGCTCTAGATGGCAGTCATGAGTCACTCAAGCGTCAAGTCAATTGGCAGGAAGCGTGAGCTCCAACAGTTGGAGCAGCCACCATCTTCATGGTTGTAGTAGACGGACTTTCTACCGTATCATACCGTATGTACCGTATATCGATAGACTTACCATACCGTATATAGTACGTTATTTTGTGTACGTCATGTCTAGTTGTGTTTCCGTAGTCGTCTTCAGATAAACAGTCTTTCAAATGTAGTTATCGTCGCCCCTTTGTATAAGTGTGGAGATGGCACGAGACTGGGAGCAGGTGGAGAAAAGGCAGTTACAACATTGGTGGCAGCGGTGGGATTCAAACCCACGCCTCCAGAGAGACAGGAGTCCGTCTACTACAATGGTATTATTACTGCCAAAGTCGAACCACCTTAGTTATTACCTCGAAGCATACCAATTTTTCCCTTGGTACGTCCAGCGAGGTATGATGCGAGACCATTGGTTGGCAGAGCTATTATGCCGAGACCATTGGTTGACAGAGCTAGATAGGCACCCGTCCCCACCCTCAGTTATTCATTCCCTGTGACTGAAGATGTACAGTAGATTTCTTGCTGTGATCTAACTGGACTGAGGTATGTTGTGTTGTAGAAATTTTAACACAACAATCTTAGTCCATGTGCTGATGTACAAGCAGGCCTTTACAAAACCGTGACACCACATGTGGGAGAGGTGAATTATTTGTCGGTGGTCTGGTTGGACAGGTACTGCTATGGATGAGATGATGTTGTGCTTCTTTCACAGGGAGGAGCACCCTTGACTGCCAGCCACGGGAAATCATCCTCTTCAACTGCCAAGTCTAAAGCTAATCCACATGAGGATATAAAGAAGGTCGATGCTCTGATCAAAACTGGCATGGTAAGTCTAGTGGTGAAAATTTTCTTAGGGCCCAATCAGACTACAAAATTAAAATTAAATAAACCTTGGATCATGAGCCATATCTCCATAGTAACTTGATGCCACAGCGACAAAATCAAGGTTTGACGCTGCTTTGGAAAAGCAAGATTCCCCAGGTGCAGCCCGCCTTTTGACACACTCAGATACTGTCAGACAAAACCGCAGATGCAGCACATCCTACATGACCTATATACAGGGCACCTTGATCCTTGGAGGGTGGTGGTATTCCTGTGGATACAGAAAATAGGGGTGTGCACTGGTAGTCCGGTACCCGTGCTACCCTAGAGGACCTCGGGTAGTCGAGTACAGAATAGTACCCGAAAACCCAAAGTCGCAGGTGACATCATATGACATGTACAGTGCACGTGCACAAATTCATGTAATACTCTGCATGTCTACCCAGACGGTGTGTAAAGAAAAAGGGTGCATTGTGGTGTTACCATGGAAACATTACCTGATCGGCATCCGTGCTACCCGTGAGAACTACCCGACTCAGCACTAACGGAAAACTCTGTCTGACTGAGTCTCACGCGAGCCGCGGCGTACAATTAATTTCATTTTTTAAGGCTGTGCAGTAAATATCCTGAATTCTTGCCTCGTGTGTTGCTGTATGAAGCTCTCCAAAGCCAACATATCAATTCTGAGTACTTGGCTACGTAGTAAGGGTGTCAAGATCAGCCGCCAGAACAAGAAAGCGGATCTGATTCAACAAGTCACACTCTGGGCTGCTAAGAAGCTACCATCAGACGACACACATCTCCAACAGCAGCTTGAGAGAGAGCCATGATGCGCTGGCAATACTACTACTACTACTACTACTACTACTACTACTACTACTACTACAAGTAGAAGGGAACAAACCAGTGAGATTAGTAAGCATTTCTGAAATTCCACGTGCTCCATTGCAATAGCCATTTTGTTATCATACAGTGAGTGCAGGTTCCGGCATGACAGTTTGGGAACCTTAGTTGTCTCCGGTGCACATCTATTTTGAGAATATGGCCAAAAGTAAGTCTCCTATTTCAGTATTGTGCTTGACATATTCTGCACCATGATGTATAGCTTCAAGTGCTTGTAGTTTCATCGCATCGAAAGGATAATAATTATTTGTTCTTTCAGCCTTTCTGTTTTGCCCCACCAACGTATCGCTAGTACACGGTATTTTAATACACAATAGTCCAGCAGTTATCTTTTATTGCAATTAAAAGTGTTTGCACAGATCACACAAGTACATGCACAATGTTTTTTTATGAACTTTAATCAGTGTGACTGCTGACAGTAGTGCTCGAGTTGGATACTGCGTACTGCGATCATGCTTTGAAGTAATTACACTCATCTAAACTGAACCCATATCCAATCAGAGTGAGCTGATGTCCTCACAACGTAGACAGCACTGACACTTTAAAAAGAAAAGCTCATGGTCCGGCTTCAAATCAATAGAATAAATAGACAGGCTGCAAGTGATGCAAAGCATCGTGAGCTTCTCAATGAATACTCATGTAGAGGAATGGCCTCGCTTATGAGATCTGCCATGATAGGTGTAGCCATCGTACCACTGCAGCATCAGGTGCAGCTTACACGAGAATAACAAACATGGCAAGAACAGCAGTCTAGCTTATTGAAAATGCACAGGGCATTAGCAATGTGAAGCAGCCGCAAACATTTGTGGACCACTTTTCTACAGTCTCTATGATGGATTATGATGGATTATGATGTGTACATCAGACATCTTAGGCACTAGGCTCCGCCACAACTACAAACCTAAAACTGTATAGACATTGAGTATACCTGAACATTGTACACGTCGCACGCCATTCAGAATTTAGGGCAACACACAATGCCATCAAGTTCTATTCACAGAATACATCTAACGTTCTTTGATGGTCATTATCAAGACCAACATCACACACGTGATGCTGGTATGGCCACCACTGCATTATTCCATTTACTTCTTCTTCTTCTTTCCACCTTTCTTGGCGCCCTTCTTCTTCGGGGCGCTTGGCCACGGGAAGCCCCTCATTGTCAGAAAGTCGGGAGCTGTGTGAGTAGTGTAGTAGGCGTTGGTCATGACATCGGGATGTGTAGCTGGGTAGATCTTCTGAGGAACAGCAGTCGCTTTAGACTTCTTGCCCTTACCCTTCTTTCCTTTCCCTTTGCCTTTTCCCTTGCCAGTCCCCTTTCCTTTGGTCTTCTTAGGTGCCGCCGGTTTACCCGAGTCCTTTACCTTGACCTTTGGCTGCAATGGTGGTCAGAGCATACAAAGAAAGCAGTCAAGCGACTAGTACAGTATGATGGTATAGCACGCACACTACTGAGCACATCGGTGATTCACTCATGCCCGTGACTATGCACACATAGGGCATTGATGAGCCTGTACAGAAGGGTCTGCACCTAGGTGCGTCAAACATACTCTAGCTCGCTCTGAGTAGAACCGTGATGATTTATAATGTGATGTGTAGACATCGATCTATGTTCATACGATCACTGCATATGGTTCAAGCATTGGTGGGTGGGGTTGGGGGATGGGATATCAACTTTGAATGGACACTAAAGACACCCCAACACAACCAGAGCAGAGTATCTATTTAGAATTACTGTGTTCAGTAAATTTTAGAGAGGCTTATGGTGGATAAGTGAAGGTGAATGATGCTTTTATAATGTCCAGTAGAATGGGAATGGTACGCGTGCCACTCTACTGCATATAGAATTAGCACCCTTCACTTTTACCCATCCTGTTCAACACAAGATCCTCTGATGCGGCTCTAAATGAGCCGAGTATGCCATAACATGTTAATCCACCTTGCTAGTATGGTATCACGGAGTATTTGAATCAGGTGCTCTGGTTGTGTTTTGGGGGATGTCGGATTAGTATACCAGGGGCGTTGGACACGGTGCGGTCACTACGGTATTGACCGCGCCACTATTTGCCCCAAATACCCTGTGAGTCGACAAAATGCACTGATTAGAGCTCTAAATCTCCATCCTTCCCCTACAAGTAAATTGTACTTCAGATGGCTGACCGTACTACACTAAATTACCTTCCGACGTCCCTGTATACTGTACTAGTATCACAGTATCACAGTATCACAGTATCACTAGTATACAACAGCTTCTACGTGTACATGTCATGATGATGAAGTCTAGAACGTGTAACATCATGGTAACATGCGAAAGTTAGAAACGGAGAAGCGTGATCTATCGGGGAGCCACTGAACAGGATGAAGCTTACCATTTTGAGTTGTAGCCCGGGTTGAACTGACTGGCTTCTTACAGTTACTCGTCACTCTCGCCTGTCACCTGTGTAAACTCTTCCCTCACGTTAGCATCGAACCAACGGCAACAGGCCTAGGATTTCAGGTTAGAGTCCGGTGGGGAACCGAGAGGATAGTGCCTCCACGTTCGAGGTTTACCCAGTGAGTTTTCCTGTCGATGGCCAGTAGTAGCAGCCTCCAGCCTACTCACTACGCCGCTACAAATCGAATTTTGTTATCTTCGTCACGGTCGTCACTGCTATGCTTGGCAAAGATGAACAGTATAGCCGAGCCAGAAGGCCCTGTACTCGGCGGACATACACACCACAAGTTGGCACAACGGTAAAATAAAGGCGAACTGTTGATAGAACGTCTCCGATGTGGAGAAAGGATTTCGGCTCTGCTCCGAGGACTGCCGAGACCCGAGTGTTGAACTTCAAGTTCTACACAAGGATACAAATACAATAAAGTATTCTCTTCGTCGTGTTGGTCGACCTGATAGATCGCTGATAATGGATTGTGGCGATGATTATCTCCCTTTCATTGACAGGCACGTCGTCAATCGCCTGATCTTCACACTCCGAGTCTCTGTACTCCACAACAAGCTCACAGACTGTCCTATCCGTGTTCATCACGTAACGTCGTTCGCTCTGGGCACTCAAACGAAACCGAGTGTCAAGGAAACCTAGTCGAGAGGACCGCGCATGCATCCCACAAAAATGCGCAGTAGTTACTATGGTCACCGCGGAGACAAGGTTACGTGCTCATCGAGGCATCGGCAGCTTCGCGAATTCGAGGAGTTCGACATCATGATGTTGAGTATGATTGACACTATGCATGGCATTGCATCGGCTTCTGGGATGAAAAAACCCCCGAGCGCTATACCGCAGTTTTTCTTTCTGCAGCGAAGCGTAGCTGTTTGATGGCCTGACTGAAGGTCAAGCCTTCATTCTCGAGTTGTCAGAGACGACGCTGTGCAGTTAGTCAAGGCTATCATTGCTGGAGAGAGAACTTGGGCTTGATATCGTGGTGATGACAGAATGATTCAATGAAGTTAGTTCATGCATGCAGCGCACATCCCCGATCACTGAAGAAGTCACACGACCGAATGGATTCGTGGAGCAACTGAGGTTGTGCATCTATGTTAGGTAATTTTTTACACTAAGCTATCGCTAAGCACCATTGACTCACCAGACACCTATGGACAACGTATTCAGTACTCTTTGGGAACCACACGTACGTGTACGTCACATGTGAGGGAGTCTGGAGTCGCCACGATTCGCAATGTCAGATCCAAACATGGCTCAGCTTAGGGAAAGGATGCGACGGGAAGCTAAACAGCTGGCTGAGGAAGAGCAAAAGGCTGACTACGTGCTCGACGTGGGCTTCCGAAAGCTGAGGATTCCCAAAGAGGAGGCGGAATCTCAGTTCCCCGAGCTACGCCAGCCCGTCAAGGAGTACATATTCGACCCACCCAGGTGTATGCTGCGCAACCAACAGCAAGAGCGAGAGAGGAAACACGTGGAAAAGGCCGTGGTGTCGCAAAGAATGAAGCAAGCGCTCTGTCCCAGTGCTCTGCCGGTCGGTGTGCACAAACCCACCTACTTGCACAGCGGCCGGCCTCGATGGGACACCACAGCTGGACAGCAGCTTGAGCCTCGATCAGGCCCAGCACCCAGCAACCATCGCCAGGATACCGTAGTTCAGAATGTCCACACTGGCAGCACCGCCCTGCTGTCTGAAGATGCACTGAAATCACTGCGTAGCAACAAATACGACATGAAGCTATTGTCTGGGACCAAACCTTTTCACACCAGCAAGGCCGCGGGCCCTGAATTTGTTGTGTTGGACGGGAATTTGCAATACAGAAAGCATCTCCAACCGGTGATGCCAATGAGTCCGCGCAAATCCATGGAGAAGCGAACCGCGACGGAAACTGCAGAAGGGGCAGATGAACCCAGTGCAGGCCGCACCAGAGGACCTGGCACACCACACTGCAGCAAAGGACCCCGCACACCACATGGCAACAGCAGAAGCAAGGAGCATACACTGGATGCTCCTGCGGCTAGTGACACCTGGAGAGACCGTGACACTCCCGATGAACAACTGAAAGCTCAGCGACGCTGGGTAGACCTTCCTTCATCAATGGAAGATTCTGAGAGGGCCACTTTAAAGAATCTACCTTCCACCCCGTCAACACCGTCACAATCCTCGACTAGCTTGGACTCTGGGCAAAACCAAAGCTCCTCACAAGGTGTTGGTTCAGTGCCGACTCCTGGGCTACCGTGCAAACCACCGGTGGGTGAAGAGAAGGAGAGTCGTTTGCAGGACGAGTTTCAGTATCTGATGAGGCAATGGTGTTCTAAGTGGAGAATTCCCCTAGGCATCGGCACCAGTACGGTGCACAGTGGTGATGACATTCTTCAGGGTATGATAAACAACAGCAACCAGCTAGAGCAATGCAGGGCTGTGTCACTATGTGCGTGGCCCAGTGCTATTGACTGCTCAATGAGAGCGAGTGCGGCAAGCACAGACACAACCGGAGAAAGACGTCCAGATAAAGGGTCAGAAACGGATACACCAAAGAAATCGCCGGCACCACCAAAGCTGACCAAGATGACCCAGTATAGCGATGGTTCTCTCTCCCAGGCTCTCGTTAACCAGCTCAATAAACTGTTGCTTGCACACAACACCAGCAATTTTGTGCGTATATCTGCCTTTTTGGCTCTCTGTGCTACTAAACAGCAGCCAAGTGTGGATATATCTGAACCCATTATGAACCAGCTTTTGGATGATTCGGGCCGACAGCATCGCTGGCTTGGCGCGCAATGTGCTGCACTGATTTCGAACGACTCGAGCACCATTGCCAAGTTGTTCCACGAGCTATTCGACAAGCTGCAGGAACCTAGCCAGATAGCGCAAGAGCGCGCCCTTCACTTCATGAGCTTTGTGAGCGAGCGCAGTCCTCTCGTTCGCCTCATGTCCACCAGCTATCTGAACAGCCAGAGCAATGACGAACGGCTGGCAGCGTGCCGGCTGATTCCCCGGCTAGCTCAGAAACCGACGTTGGATGTTGCCCACAAGCTGGTCTACCTGTACTGGCATGACTCAAGCCTGGGAGTACGCACACAGGCAACCCGTGCACTACTGGACACGGGCCACGGCAAGCTGATTCACGATGAGATCTGGTCTGCCCTGATGGACGGTGACGAGCAGGAGAAAATCGCAGCCCTGGAGAAAATGGCCAGCTGCAACATCATGTCCGAGCGTCTGAGACCTCTGTTCCTGAGAACGTTCAAGTCGCCGCACATGTCGGTCCGGATGGCTGCAGTGAACACGGCCGGTACGCTGCGGGTTAAAGATGACATGGTGGTGCGCAGGGTCATGAACCAGATGGTGGAAGGCACGTCGAAGCTAAAGCTCATGGCGTACGAGGCGCTGTGTCTGATGCGGCCCCCTCCCAGCGCGGACCTGCTGAACCACATGGAATGGGCCGTGCACCTGGAGCTGGACCCGTACGTGAAAGCGAGAGCGTGCTTGGCCACCGCCACTCTGTGTCCGAAGCATCCTCCGGTCATCGCCAAGCTCAAGGCATTGCTGGAGGCTGACGAGGAGGACTTTGTGAAGGAGAGTGCAGCTGCCGGTCTGCTGGCCATGGGGGAGCAAGCTGAGCCAGACCGCCGTGAGATGAAGCAGATAACACAGGAACTAGATGAGATGACCTCACCCGACCGTGTTGTACTGGACGTGTTGAGAATGGATCGCCGGGAAAAGGCGCTGAAGGATACAGCCGTCCAAGCCCGTCGACTGAAGCTCAAGAGAGCCAGGGCAAGCATGTGAGGTGGACAGTCCTGACTCACAGGAAAGGCATGGAAGTTACACAAAATACGTCCCATTATCATGACTTTGCTCTCGTTCTTTTCCCACTTCAACATGCAGGTAGCAAGTGCAAGTTGTGTTTTAGAAGATGAGGCATTTTCATCATCTCATGACAAGCCTTTTCTGACATCGGCCTGGCTGCTTTGTCGGACGCCATAATTTACAACTTGATACCACTGAAGAATCTGGCCTATTCACGTATCCACTATACTGGTATACATGTAAGTCGGAGCTGCAAGCCGGGACCTCGATATCATTAGCATTAATAGCAACATTTTGCTGGAAGTTGATTCTAAGCTGTTGAGTATTCTGTCTTGTGACTGGTGCCGGTAAACTTCACATCCCTTGAGTGATAAAAAAACGTTTTCGAAGTATTTCGTTTTGAACGGTGTTCTCTCAATGACGCACGCGCGCGCGTGTGTATGTGTGTGTGTGCGTGTGCATGTTTCTCCTGTGCTGTGCAATGATTCCACATACCGGTAATATGCAATGTATGACAGGACCAGTGTAATGTTTTGGTCAACAGCAGTCTGAAGATGAGCTGCACTGCTGGAAACTTGATTTGCGTCTTCTGGCTTGGCATTTTTTCCCTAGTGACGGTAGAGTCGCACACTGAAGAACTGCGGCCCGAAGAATGTCCAGCCTGAAAGGCTAAGAACGCCACAGCCTCGGGTTTAAAAAGCTGGCGGTGTTGGTTTTCTAGTAGCTTTTGGGATATAAGTACATCTGATGCAGTACGAACTGTTTCTAAGAATGTGCTACAAGAACGCAGCCAGATTGCTGAAAAATAATAACGTCCCAGGCTAACCCCTGGGCAATAACGTTCTTGCGCGAGCAGCTCTACTGTACATGTACATGCACTAGCAATACTCAATCTGCACTAGCAATATAATGCTACTGGCAGGGGGGGGGGGGGGGGGGGATGTACTCATGCATGGCAGTGTGTGAATGGGTATGTGTTGCCCAGGGAGCCGCCCAAGGGCAGGTGAAATAACATGTGTAAGATGCGCAGATCAAGTGTCTCACCAGAATAGAGTTGCACTGATTGATCTGATTATTTTCTCTTCAAGATTGCCGTGTCTGTTGGCACTCTCTTCGAGGACAAATTCACCACACGAGGCTGTCAAGACGGGATGGCAAGAGTTACTTTAGAAATGTGCTCCTTTTTAACATGTAGAACTTGAAGATTCAACCGTATCAACAGCAGGATTTTTCAATCCAAAAATAATTATTATCGTTTGATGCTATTATTTGAAAGCCATCACATTGCACAAAGAATCTGTATTCACTCAACTAGATCTTTTAGTTTCTCATGCTTTTGTGTTCACGTTCTCCACAGCGCACAGACTGTCCAGGCGATGAGTTGTCCCGTGTCAACCGGCAGTGCCTAGCAACAGTGCCTAGGAACAGTGCCAAGGAACAGTGCCTAGCAACTGTGCCTAGCAACGGTGCCTAGCAACACAGTGCCTAGGAACAGTGCCTAGGAACAGTGCCTAGCAACTGTGCCTAGCAACGGTGCCTAGCAACGGTGCCTAGCAATAGTGCCTAGCTGCAGAAGCGGTTCTTGATGGCTAGATAGGCCTGCATCAGAACACCGGTGATGGGTTGCCAGTTGATCTTGATTGTCTCAAAGTCCAATAGGAATGTGTTGTGCCGCGACCTGGCCATGATCAGGTATGTCTCACCAACCGTAAATTCCATACAGCCACACGCAGCTGCTTCTTTGAGCACCCAGACGAAGACATTGGATGGTCGCTCGTCGGAGCTATTGAGGCCCTGGGGTCGAGAGCCAAACCATTCCAGGATCTTCACCAGCAGAAGTCCTTCCCTTCCAAAGTTGTTATCCTGGAATACAATCCGCGCTTTGAAGTCTACAGCATTTTTAAGTCACACATGATACACACGATAGATCAGTTACGTTTCCTGGTTAAAGGGGAAGTGCATCGATTTTCGAGTAGGGACCAGAAGAAAGACAATTTGATATCGGTTCGAATGGCATATCTCTAGCTTCCATACGATAAGCCAAACTTGCCAAATCGCCAATTGTATACTCACGTTGCCATAGCGACCAGCAAAGTGATGACGTACGAAAGGCTTAGCTCCACCACAGTGAAGGTCGATTCACTGCAGAAATTGGTCATTTTCAATTGGTTTATTGTATTCACGAAGTGAAAGAAGGGCTGTGTTCAATGCTGTTAGTGCAGTGAACTGTTTATTAGTAGTCCTCTCGGTTGTGTACTGGGACGTGACACCGACAGGAGAAAGCTGGAGTGCGAAAACATCAGCAGACAAGCGAAAATAGTGACGAACAAAATGCTGAAATCTTGGTTGGGACAAATAAGACGTTCAGCATTTCCCCCAACCAAGGACCATGCTGTTTGCTCTTTCCACTTCCTGAAGATGGATGTGATGCTTCCTGGCGACTCTCCTATCTCTCGTAACATCTTCTGAAGCCAGGTGAGACGACGGGTGGTGGAGATCAGGGGCGTACATAGGGCGGTTCCCGGGATGCCCGGGAACCAGTAAAATAATTTCGATGTGGGTAGATCTACGGAGAATGTTTTGATCAAGGCCCAGCGTGCATACAGTGCATGCATGCCTAGGCGGCGTAGTCGCCTGCAGTCCGCCTGACCGTCCGAGGACGGTGACAAGGCAAGGTGTAAAACTAAAAGTGCTGCTGAGGCATTTTTGTGACACAGCGTAGATCTACTGAACTAACTATTACTTACTGGGTGCAACGAAGTCTCTACATACAAGTTACAGCGATTCCTCGATCTCAGAGTCATTTCCTTTGCAGTTTGTTTCGACAAAGTTGGTTACGTTTTTGACGACGCTTTCGCTTTGTGGAAAAGAAAAATGAAGAGTCGACATCCAGAGGGCCAGCGCTCTATTCAGAGCTATTTTGAGCAGGAGGCAAAGCGTGTAGCCAGTGACGAAGGTCAAGCGATAGATGAGATTGCGGACGCACCTGACTTCCAAGTGGAGTCTGCAACGAGCAGCACAGAGGACGGAATCGTCGGCGAAGCTGTAGAGCGACCGTTGTTGGAAGCTGCTGGATCATCCAAGACTTACTTCAGTGACATTGGAGTGTGTTGGAAAGGATATTCTGAAAGTGTACCTCCACGGTGGAATCCCTGATTGACTCCGAAATTTGCCATACATGGAAAAGATTTCCGTCATTGACAATCATTGTGCGCCACTAGCTGCACTGAAGGCGAAGGATTTCGTTTCCTGTGCGTGTCCAGACGGGTGGCAAACAGCGCCGCTTTCAACTATCCTGGTTGGAGGAGTTTCCCTGGGTAGTCTTTTGACCGGCGTTCCATGGTGGCTTCTGCTTGCCCTGTGTAATGTTTGCTCCAGGTGATTCAAAGTTTGGGCAGCTTTACCGCAGTCCTCCCGAGAATATAACCCGACTCAAGACTGAGCGTGTGGATGTGCTTCAGCGACTCGTTTCACGGCATAACATGAAATCGTCCTGCTGAACAAAACATCCATAAAAAATGCCTTGGCAAAGTTCAGTCTTTTTGAATCAAATATGCGTAGCAGTGACATTATCCAGCAGTTTATGCAGAAACTCCATCGGATACGTATAAGAGCACTAGCCGTGTGGAATTATGTTGGCTGATCAGTTTGCATGGGAACCACTCCTAGAGGCGAGCGGTGTACGCCCCTGGAGATTGACGAATGAAATAATGTCGTAGGTTTGAAAGTTTGCTGAAAACGTCTCAGGAGAGATGGCGAATACCAAGCATCTTCTCCTAGAGGGACCATTTCCCAGGCACAATCAGCCTAGAGAAATGTAGGAGAAGGCCGATAAAGAGTTCACGGCACTAACAGCATTGAACACAGCGCTTCTTTCACATCGTGAATACAATAAGACAATTGAAAATGACCAAATTCTGCAGTGATCGACCATCTCTGTGGTGGAGCTAAGCCTTTCATACGTCATCACTGCGCTGGTCGCTATGGCAACGTGAGTATACAATTGGCGATTTGGCAAGTTTGGCTTATCGTATAGAAGCGAGAGATATGCCATTCGAACCGATATCAAATTGTCTTTCTTCTGGACCCTACTCGAAAAATCGATGCACTTCCCCTTTAGTTAAAGGGAAACTGAACGCCAAAAATAAGTATGGCTTATCCGAAGGAGAATTGGGCACTGATTCCGATGAGCTATGTCTCGAGCCGATCAGAGAAGAGTAACTGTGTCAAATTTCATAAATAACACCTCCCATATTTGGAAATTGGCCTTGATGACGTGCGTACTGCTTAGCTGTCACCATGCTGTGCATGTTCAGCAGTGTAATTGAATGGAAGAAAACAATTACTTTGGTGTTTTGCAGCTCTGTTTCGTTCCCTGACGGTAACCAAATCTAGATGTAGGAATCTGTTGAGCAGGAGAGTGACACATGTCTTCCCGAAGGCTGTCCAGGCTGCAGTGGTGATGAAGAAGACACGATCATCACCCCGAGATCGATCGTAGCGAATTGGAAAACTCATGGTGAATTTGCTTCCACTCCAAGGCAATGTCGAGGTATGAATGGTGCTTGTACTGCCTTCCAAAGTGAAGAGGAGATGAACATGGCTTTGCATAGCTGTTGTTCTATGCCAACTTACCTACTCTTGCTGGTACCGTAGTGGCATATTGCAAATTTCGTGGACGAACAACTCTAGTCACTAGTGGCTAGTGAGCAACACTAACAGGTGAGATTTTTCAATTCGACAAAAATTGTTTTTGTTTGAGAACTGACAGTGGCAGTCATTAGACTCAGTACGTGTCTCTCTGCTAGCTGCTGCTTCTTTCCCTTCATCGGTAGGGTTGTGCTTGAAGTAAAAATAAATAGAAAATGTGGAACAAAAATCTGATCATGTAATTCGAATTTGAACTTCAAAGTATGTGTACATCAAATCACAAAAATGACTGTCAAGGTGGTGCTGTGCATTGAAAAAGACTGGGAGCTGGCAGCAATGGAAAGGGTAGAAATGAAACCAGTAATGCAGAGTATTCATAAGGTAGAGGGAGATAAAAACGGGAGAGGAGTAGTGAGCACTTCAATTTGAAGTAGTGTCAATAGACAGCATCGTGTTGCATACGTTGTGAATATTGTGTGAATCTAATAATTGTCACGAAATTGATATCCAAAATTATTATCCCCTGAGTAGTATTATGGTGTTCTCCTGTGTTTACATGCAGAGCCTTGACGTTGCTGAACGAGCGACAATATAAATTACATAAACATGTAGCTCGTGATGTGGGATGACTGCCGTATCGCATTGCCAACGCAAACCCATCCTGTGTCAGTGCAGCCATCCAGCAACTTGAACTCCCCGGACCAGATGCCGCTGCACCTGAACACCATGCCGATGGAAAGCCAGGAGTTGATAGCGAAGCATTCTGGTCTGCACAGTACAAGGCAAAGAACAATTATGAATTATAATGCATTGTAATCTTTCCCAAACTTCTTTGTAAAACGAACAAACAGTGCCATTATCACAACACTTGATCAAGCATCTTGATGGAGGTATTTTCCATTGTGCTGGCTCAGCATCTGCACCAGGAAGACCATGTACACTTACACGTATCTTGTGTGTGTTCGTGCGTGTGTGTTTGTGTATCTGTATGTGCACACGTGTGTGTGGGGGGGGGGGGACGCACATGTGTATGGGTAGGAATGTGTGTGTGTGTGGGGGGGGGGGGGGGTACACGCACATGTGTATGGATGTGCGCGCTGCATGCGTGTGTCTGTGGGATGGGGTGGGGGTGCACGCACATGTGTACATGTGTGTGCGCAATACAGCATGTGTGTATGTGTTCGTTGAACACAGGGTGTACTCCTGATTACATAAACTTCGTGATCATTGTGATTTCATGTGCTTTGAAGTTGAACTTCGCAATACATGTACTGATGCTTGATTAGATTTATGTTCCACATGTTCTATTTATTTTATTTTACTTCAAGCACTTGTACTATTCAAGCACAACCCTACCAATGAAGGGAAAGAAGCAGCAGAGAGACACGTACTGAGTCTAATGACTGCCACTGTCAGTTCTCAAACAAAAACAATTTTTGTCGAATTGAAAAATCTCACCTGTTAGTGTTGCTCACTAGCCACTAGTGACTAGAGTTGTTCGTCCACGAAATTTGCAATATGCCACTACGGCACCAGCAAGAGTAGGTAAGTTAGTTGGCATAGAACAACAGCTATGCAAAGCCATGTTCATCTCCTCTTCACTTTGGAAGGCAGTACAAGCACCCTTCATACCTCGACATTGCCTTGGCGTGGAAGCAAATTCACCATGAGTTTTCCAATTCGCTACGATTGATCTCGGGGTGATGATCGTGTCTTCTTCATCACCACTGCAGCCTGGACAGCCTTCGGGAAGACATGTGTCACTCTCCTGCTCAACAGATTCCTACATCTAGATTTGGTTACCGTCAGGGAACGAAACAGAGCTGCAAAACACCAAAGTAATTGTTTTCTTCCATTCAATTACACTGCTGAACATGCACAGCATGGTGACAGCTAAGCAGTACGCACGTCATCAAGGCCAATTTCCAAATATGGGAGGTGTTATTTATGGAATTTGACACAGTTCCTCTTCTCTGATCGGCTCGAGACATAGCTCATCGGAATCAGTGCCCAATTCCCCTTCGGATAAGCCATACTTATTTTTGGCGTTCAGTTTCCCTTTAAACCCCACGCTACCTGCATAAACACTTTACACATGTCATTGAACTGTAGGGAAAAGAAGCACTTGTAGCTAGAATAGCCTGAGCTAAGCTGAGTGTTGAAGGTTCAAGTTACTTGCAATGAGTGTGATTCAAGCTACTTACAATGAGTATGGTTCAAGTTACTTACAATGAGTATGGTTCAAGTTACTTACAATGAGTGTGGTTCCTGGTGCAGATCTCGCCCAGCCGCAGTTCCCAGTGCAGACCCTGGTGACTAAGGCATGTTTCACACTTCCTTGCATCTGCAGCATGCCACACACAAGCAACCACCACAGTCAGAGATTTCACGTTGTCCATTTAAAAAATGCTGCATGTCCTTTGGAGTGTGAAAGTGCACGAGGCATCAACTCTTAGCCTGCGGTTCTCTGTCCTTTCTAGCATGGTTTCGAAAATACAGCTACGACATAGAAGTATGGTATTCAAGTTCAGCTTGATGCATTTCAAGCACATGGCTTATGGGGTTTGCAGTTTGCTTGCAAACTCAGAAGCATGCTCATCATGTTTCCAATGACTTGCAAACTCCGGCCAGGGTAGCTATAGCCGTGTACACTTCAGGAGCCTGAAAATCACTCTAGAACTATGCAAGCATAGCAACACACCTTCTGCACCGAGGGTGACTGGAGGAGGTGCTGTCGTAGTTGCGATCACTTGCTGAGGAGTCGGTGGCGGCGTCCGTGCTTGTGGTGGAACTGTGGGTGCTAGCGGGGGTGGCGTAGTTGTGACGACCTGTTTCCGTAGCTCACTTTCCTGGCATGTGCTCGGATCAGAACGTCTGTACAGAGAACCAGGGTAACAGCAGCGCACCGAAGGTTATCCCACTACCTACAACAAATTGTAATACAGGCTTCAAGATTGCACCAGCTAGGGAGCAGCTAGACAGGACCTTTCACCAGCAAACAATCAGAATAACTGCCAATAGATATCAAACCAAGTGTTCATCTATATCATATTAATTTTAAAAAGAGGACTAGCTACATCTATGTGTGTGTATTCATGTGACTCAACACTCGCATACATGCATAGCCACTCAATCTCCAGGCTGTTACACTCACACAATTCTGGCTGCCACTACATTCTGCATAACGTCTACCTTTCACACTCCGCAACGAGACGAGTGTCAAGCGATTCCCATGCAGAGCAAAGTAGCCGGCAAATCAAGAGTAATCCACTCAGTGTACAAACTAGGCTTTCTATGGAGCTCTTGCAAAACCTCAAACCCAGACAACGAATGAGCAGTCGACTCATGCTCATCTTGTACCCGCAAATAGCGCGTCATAGGTCCCTTTTGATAGGAAAATCTGCACCTGTTGTGGTCCATTTTACTAGTTTCAGGGGAAGAAACAGATAACGTACCTTCTTGGATCCACCAATCTGAATATTTTACCAACTGGCTCATCTCTGTGAGATGGAGCGGCAAGAATGTAGATTTCACCTGAAGAAGAAAAGAAAGTTGAAAACCCGAGATGTGCACACCTTGTGTGGGTCACGGAAGATGATGTATCTCAGATGCCGCTGTTTTGCACCACACATGGCATGAAGACACTTCTTTTGTTTTATTTTGCTAGAACAAAATTTCTTTGGTTATCATGATAACATGGCGGCTTGACAATTGTTCAAGCATGAACGTTCATTACAGAGTGAAATCCAACTTTACCTTGCTCATCTTCTCCGAAAGACAGAATGGCGCGAGGTAACTGTCCCGTCATACGGTTAGTGCATGTTTTACTGGACCCGAGGCAAACCTCCCGGTTCACCCAGCCTGTCGGACTCTGCGGATCCTCGCTCAGGGAGAACAGCTTCCTGTGCAGAAAGATATGAGCATAAGCAACTAGACATGCATACTGACAAACGCATATGAAACCAAACGCTGAATCAGTACACTTTTCGTATTTCCATTCCTTCAATCAATGAATACTTGAGTCAATAATCTGTACATGTAGTAGAAATTCAAAGTGATCTTTGCCCAAGCTGACATTTGTGCTGTACATTTTTGTGAGCATAGTGGCACTGAATTGTAGTGTATTATTTTAGGATCTAGCAATGCAGTCTGAGTCTACTCACCCGCTGGAGTAATCCCCGTAGAAGTACCGTCCCTCCATGTTGGGCCACTGACAGCCACGGTACACGTACCCACCCGTCACCGACCGACCAATGTCACGGCCGTAATCATGGATCGGAAGAACCGATGTCTCTGAAAATCCACACAAAACACAGCAATACGGAATTAGTCACGTTGTAGTGTTGCAAAAGGAGGATCAACGAGCGGGACTCGAACCCAGCACCCTGTCTATCCGGGACAGCACCTTGCCGATTAGGCTACCGGCAAGAGTCCATAACCCAAGAGTATGCAACTGTGATTATGGGTGCATGCGTGGCGCGCTGCCTTCATTACGTAACTTGCCTTCATCACGCTCTGAAAGCATGCATTCAAACTCTCAATTTCTCGCACGAGCCCATCCGTTTTTGCTCGATTCGTTCCAGTACCTACACAATCTCTGAATTCTGGCGCGTGAACTCCAGTTCCGTACGAAAGTTCATTTCAAACTAGAGGGAAAGTGCGGTGTTTGATTTTCCGCAGTGCGCGGACTGCAGCTGAATGATGGAATGAAGGCAGCGCGCCGCGCGGTTGGCCCATAGAAAAGAGATCACAGTTGCATACTCTTGGGTTATGGACTCTTGCTACCGGGGATCACACCCATCCATGGCTCCTTCTTGCTACAGTAGTGTATTGATACCATGGCAATACCATGACAACCAACTGCATCATGTGTCACTATTGCAGTATAGACTGTTAGGACTGTTAGTGGACATCTCACCACGCAATTGCTTGCAGAGCTTCTTGTCATAGCAGAGATTGCCCTCCAGGCCACGCCAGCCATAGTTTCCGCCCTTCACAATCAGGTCGATTTCCTCTCGTTTCCGCTGGCCAACATCTCCACAGAATAGTCTACCGGCACCGGAGCCTGCGAGAGAAAGTTTGGAAATGAAAGGCAATCAAACATGGATGTGATTACTGGGAGTCAGGGATTGACTACACATCGTCACCAAGAGAGTGCACGGGTATCTTCAGTGTTGAAAAGGCAAAACGCACACTGCATCCAGGATGAAGAAGGGTAAGGTGGGTGAGACCAAGGAGTATGCGTGCCATTATTTTCCCGATGGCATGCAAACGCAACACATTGGAAATGGCTTATAATCACTGCTCACCAAAGTACACTGCTATCCTGCATATCTTACATGCATCAATAACGAGGCACAAACATACTAGATACTACTCAGAAAAAGGACACACTTCAGGCTCTTTTACTAGTGAAACTGAGAACTTTCAAGATGTTCTTATACTTTCAAGCCTTACCGTCAGGTGAAATACAGGCTGTATTTCACCTGACGGTAAGGCTTGAAAGACGTATACCGTAAAGTACCGCCAGAGCGCCCCACCATCTCATCCTTTCGTGGTCGTATTGTGGAGGTGGTCTGCTGTCTGTAGGTCATACGACATGAACCTTGTACACATATTGCACGTTTTGCAGTCAATCCGTACCTTCAAGCGGACACAAGCTCCACACAAAAACCTGCCAAGTGTGACCTTAGTACACTGAGATTCTCACATTGTACACACTTCGTTGCACTCTGCCATACGATTTTCCTTTCTCTGGCTGTAAAATCAAGGTGGGGCGCTCTCGCGAGACGGGGCGCTCTGGCGGTACTTTACGGTACTAGTGAGAGGGCCTGAAGTGTGTAAATTGGTAATAACGTCCAAAGGGCAGTGTGTAAGACTCTCCTCACCGGTTAGCGCATTTCCACGATCAAATGAACACCTCCAGGGATTACGCAGACCGTAGGCGTAGATCTCTGACCGAGTGTTTGCCAGGCCTGTGAATGGGTTGTCGTATGGCACAGCGTACAATGCTTGGGGATGATTGACATTCACATCAATGCGCAGTACTTTCCCCAGGAGATTGGACCTAAGCGTAACATGTTCATCAATACACAACAGCAGCAGCCTCAAGATCTAAACACGTCGATCATTTTCAAGCACTGTGTACCTGTTCGGTACACAACGCATTGCAATGGTCAACAATCCATGTCTATACACTTACTGGACTATAAACTTGAGTTTCTAATCACTCAGCTCTCACTCTTGACCTGACATTATATCAACTAGTTTGACATTGTACTGTACTTGCCGATGTGTTAACTTGTTAGTAGCACCTTCTAAAATGTTTTTATACTCCGAATGTCAACAAAAATACAAACTTTGGGCCCGAGAAGGGGGAGGGGATGCGGCGTAGACTACGCTGCAGCTAACACACCATAAAATACGGTACTACATTCAGGGGTATTACGCTCCTTGGCGTTCGTCTTGTTGAGCGCTCTCGGTAGGCTGCTCTAGTGCCGCTGCATCACACATTGTCCGCTGTTTTTCATAGTTTGAGCTCTCTGGTGCTAGAGCAAAGAGCTACCTTAAAAAAATGTCTATGGTGCCACCTTTGCACCATGACCGGTAGCTCGGCTCACTTAATGCTCGTAGCTGTACTGATGAGGCCTTTATGGCGGAAACAGCTTGCTGTCTACAACATTGGATACTACATTCATGCACTTCGAAGTATGATGGGTTGGCATAGGTGTTCACAACTTATATGTAAAAGGAAGTGGTGCCTGATCATGATGTGGTGGCGTCCCACGGAAGCGGAAAGGCGGTTCTTGACCCTCCCTGTACCCGAACCCGTTCAATTAAAAAACCCACGCACATTTGTGCAATACTAGTGTCCACTCACATATCCTGTGCATTGCCATTCTCTCCATGTTTGTCGCCTGCCCCGCCGCCGTCACCGGAAAACACGTAGAGATAGCCGTCGGGACCGAACGTCACCTGTCCGCCGTTGTGGTTGCTCTGCGGCTGAGTGAACTGCAGCACGATCCTCTCTGACGAGTGATTGGCCAGGTTAGCGTTGTCTCTCGACTGCGTCCACTCGGACACGCGGCTGTAATGCTTACCAGACCGTGTGTAGTGGCTGTAGTATGTGTAGAATTTGCTGTTCCACTTGAAATTCGGATGAAACTCCAGACCGAGCAGTCCGCGCTCATCCCCACGCCCATTATGCGTACCCACTGATCTGGTGATGTCCAAATATGGCTCGCCCAATACCTTACCCGTCTTTGTCATGACCTTGATGATGCCTTTCTGTTCACCTATGAACATTCGCCCTGTGCCATCTTTGCTGCTGGTGAATGTAAGTGGGTTTACCAGGTCGCTAGCAACCTCTTCCACGCATAGACAGTCGCTGTCATCATCACCTGCACCCGCCTGTCCAGAAGGGGAATTCCCTCGCCCGTCTGTCACGTCAGGTGGCAGTTGACCTCGTTCAGTGTAGTTGATGTTGGGATAGCAGTAGATCTTGTCATTCAAACTCCATTTGCTACAGAACAGCGGTCCAGCCCTGGCGTCGCCATTTATACTGCTGCTGCTGGTGGTGGTCCTGCTGTGGTTGGTAGAGGCATCCTGGGCAGAGTCGTCCTCTTCACCGAGGTTGAAGAACATTCGAAGAACCGGAAGACCACATTCGTTCACCAGATCTCTGCACATGCCATAGCACAAAGCGGGGACTCGGCCTCGAGTGTCGTCGAGTTCCTCCCCTGTCGCCTCCACATCGTATGCATGTGCGGCAAACGGTGAGCACGCCAAACATTGCAACGAACGCAGGTAAAGCCTGCATCTCTCATTCAACTCACGGTTTACCCGAGGCACCGAATCTGCTGTTCGCGATCCCGCATCCCCGCTGGAATCCACTTGGTGGTCATCCGTTCGGTCACTGCTCGACCAGGAGGCCAGGAAGCGGTCAAATTCCTGGCCGAGCTTCGCATCCTGCTCTCCGGTGCAGCATGCGCTGGCCGTGTACTGAGGGCAATGCAGTAATGGTCTGGTGGGTTGGAATGGTGGCCTGAAGTCCGTGCATTGCGGATGGCCATTGGCAAACCAGGCCGCAACTGCGAACAGAAGTAGTGCTGTCAGGCCTGGTCGTAACGTCTGGTCGGTTGAGGGCATTACCATGATTACTGCGGAGACGCACAGGCCTCGTGTCTAACGCTCTCCTAATCCCGACCGGACAAGCCAGTGAAGTGAACTCTGCGGCGAAACTTCTCTCCGCACAGCAGCTACGTTTACTGCCGCTAAAAGGGAAATTTTATTATTGTGTAGTGTCGGAATTGCATCCAGTACCTGGAGGCGTCGCGGTGGTATCAACCCGATTTCGTCTTGAGGTCTAGTTGGCCAACGTGACATAGTCATTTGTAACGCCATGCTTGCAATTTATTCATTCATGAGTGCCTGTGACCGTGTCCGATTTCGCTCTCCCTTTCTCCACAAGGCACGAAGTTCCAGACATCGGAACGCTGCACCGTTTCTGCCATAGCTGTTGGCATGCGGGCGCTGACAGCTGAGGCGATGAGCACTGAGGCTTTCGCGAAGTCGACGGATCATTATTTTCATTGCAGGCTGCAGACAGCACAGCTGGACTGGAGCAGGCCATTGGCATTGGCATTGTCAAGGACAATGAATGGTTCGATTGTACTGCCATTGTGAACTGGTGAAGCAATCTCTGATTAGTGGTCAGTGTCTGATCATGCTGATTGGCGAAGTCTTGCAGACCTGGTGTCACAGTAGGTGGTAAAACACATTTGACCTGTACTGATCCGTGAGTTCACGGGTTCAGTCACATAGTGCAGCTTGTTGTACATGATTGGTGTTGGCCGGACTGACCCGTTGTGCCTGGTCTGTCGACTTGTCGATACTGTCACTCACGCAAGTCACCATGGTCACTGAGTCTGTGTCACAGTGTGTGGCATGCATAGATCTACGGAGCTCGGCCCGGCCGAAGGCATGCGTTGCACTTGCAGATAGTCTGTGATTCTGATACTGTCACTCACGCAAGTCACCATGGTCACTGAGTCTGTGTCACAGTGTGTGCACGGCTGATTCAGACTGCAAAAACCCGTGCACAGCATCTCGGGTTCGAGGCCAGGCCAGCAGTCACCGAAGTAGGGGATTTTCCCGTACTCAAGCGTACTCAAGGGCTGAGAATTTTCTCAGGGCCAGCTCTCTACACGCGGCTTCTCGGCCTCACCGAGCGGAGCCTGAGACACTGAAAACAACAAAAATAGCCTCGTGTGAGAGTACAGTAGCTGTAGTACAATCGCGTGTAAAAAACGAGTGCTTCTTTCTTCGAGCGAGCGACTTTTCAAGCGTTTCTTGTCGATTTCTTACTCCTTTTTGAGCGTGTCTTTTGCTGTACGTAGCCCAGGGAAACTGCCCTGGGTAGCTAGTTGGGGAAGTTTTGGTGGCGGCGAGGGAAGTTTATTTGTATAGCGGAAACCTTCATCTACAAAATACGTTAGTGTCATTGTGATCCGTAGGGTAGTTTTGTGTGCATCGTGTTCTTTCTGACGTCTCTTATCGCTGAACAATGAGCTCTGATTTCAAAAATTTGAATTTTCACCTTGAGCATGTGGGTATGTTGTGTCGCTTGGGTGGATGTAAACTGCCCAGCCATCGGAGTGGTCGGAAGTCTTAGAGCCCCCTATTTATTTTATCTAGTGAACGATTATGCATTGCAGATCTTCAATGTTCTAGGTATCAAGGTAGAAAAAGATGAAAGTGGTGTCCACCCCACACATTTCTGTAGGGCATGCTTACTATTTATCCAGAAGTCAGCAGAAAGTGAAACACCGTGTGATGTTGGTGGTGATATTAAGGGAGGGGATAGTGGTGGTGGTGGCTGTAGTAAGGCTCTGCCAAATGTACTAGCCTGGATGCCGCACACAGATGATAAATGCATTGTATGTGGGTGGATTGAGAGTGCAAGAAAGGGAGGTAGACCAAAGCAGGAGAAGAATCTTAAGGGGGCGTGCTCGGTGGATAACAAGAGCCAAAACACAGGGGAGAGTTTGTTGGGTGTCGATATTGACGAAGCCACACTGTTCGGGCGAGCCACGCCTTCGCATGTATGTACTCTTGGAGAGGAAGGCGGTGAATTAATACACCACAAATTCAACCTCCTTCGCTCTGGCCTGCAGAACACAAACAAAGATGTTGACCGTCTAAAGGTCTTGGTCGTGCAGTACCCAACAACCACACTGCCGACACACCAGTGCTTAATTTATAATGCACAACAATTGCAGTATTAAAGCCAAGGGAAAATTCCCAAATCTAGCTACCTATGGAGAAGTGAACTGTTTTGTCGCTCACAACATCAGCGCGGGTGGTGGCGGGCCATAGGTAGGTCAACATTATCACTCTGATACATTCAGAAATCATTTGAACAGCAAAACTGTAACTGATTACTTCAAACATGAGACAAAAGTCAAAATACAATGCAGCGATGCAATTTGAAATCAAAACTGTTCTGCACCACTGAAATCGAATTTACTACTTCTTATACTGCACCTTCTTTACTGCTGATGTTCAGCCACTGTGCAGATCCTGCTGTGCTAGCCTTGTGATCTCATATCAGAATCCAGCCAGAATAGTACAGCAGCTGCATGGGAGCATGCCTGTCCCAGGCTCGCCATGCAGATGCAGTGTGCCAACAGAACAGCACCAGAAAGGGGGGGGGGGGGACTTGTCAGAATACTCAAGCGAGTGTCCATGAAAATTCTTTGCTTCCTCCTGCCAGGTTGAGAATCACGTGCACTGATTCAGCCACCAGGTGGCATGCGTCAACACATCTACGGGTAGCCCTGATTCCTGAACTAAACTCTAAAGGAACGTACAGTTCAGGTGCTGAGCACGTGCAGGAACTACACAACGTTCCTCGTCCACAGGCAAGTAGAGGACAATGCACTGACTGTGACATGATCCGTAATACTAGAACTTGAACTACTATAATTATTGTAGAAGTAATAACAATAGTTCCTGCACGAAAATGATGTTGTGTCGAAGAACGGCATAAACCGAAGAGTCACTGGGTCTGGCAGATGTCGCCTTCATCTTTTATCGAAACTCCACGTCAAGACAGCGAAGACTACACTTCAAAACCACTTGACTTGGCCTACAACGAGACGAACTCCAAACAACTCGACAATGTTTTTTTGTAGCTCTGTAGCTCTAGAGCTCTTTTGGCACCAAGCAAAAAAATATTTCCTTGCACTGCGTGTAATCTCTGGGTGGGCACCGCCAAGGCGTTAAAAAGGTGGGTTTTTACCAAAAATGTGTAAAAGGACGCCATCTTGCCTTTTGAATCACGCGAAACAGCCGTGTGTGGCATGCATAGATCTACGGAGCTCGGCCCGGCCGAAGGCATGCGTTGCACTTGCAGATAGATCTAATACTACATGACTACTACCGGAGTACAGGCGCGTACGCAGGGTCACCTCTAGGGGGGTTTCCAACCGAATCCCAAACAATGAGTTTTCAGTTTTAACCCTTTCGAAAGACTAGTAAAGAGCCCTAGGAAATTTTCAAAATTATGCATTTTTTCGTGTTGTTTGGATCATAACTTCTACTCACTCAATCTTCAGTACATGTATCTTGGGCTTCCTGGAAGTGTAAAGGTACCAGGGAGAGAATGAGGTCGACCATGATAGCCAGGACACAGTACCATGAGTACAGTCATGTACATATCCAGCGCTATCCAGTATAGCGGTAGAGTGCAGCGACGGTGCGAAAAATGCCCCAAACAGGCCCAAACGCGTCCTGCTCCAGCGATTTCGTTTTTCTTGATCGCAGAGTTTCGATTTTTTCGCTGTGTACTCTTGAAAATATCACAAGTGAAGCCCCTGCAAATTTAAGCAAATCAGCGCGACGAAAATCTCAAATTCTCGATACTCAAGTCGCGCTGCACGCTTTTGAAATTGCCGAGATCGCGGCTTAACTTACGAATAATTTATCTCACGACACATTGCTCACAGTGCTTCGAAAATTGTTTCAACCAACAGCTGAGAGTTTTCTATCAGTCCATCCTCAAGCGTGCAAAAAACATATCTCTGCCACTAATCGAGACTTACACTGATTTTTGCGCTTTTGGGCCCAAATAAGTCTTGATGACGGCAAAAATAATTGTCAACTGAATACGGAAGTGAACGAATTTGGTCGAAAGTGTCGAACCACCTTCATGACGAGCAACCGTTTGTGGCCACTGTTTGTGAACTTGGAGCTTGTTATGGTGTGTGTCGGCAGGAATTTTTTTATGGCGAACAGGAAACGTTTTTCACATCGAAATCAGTGGTTACCCTTTGAAATTGAGATGTTCAAACAGCGAATTTTCTACGTCGAAATGAAGTTGGAGCACCATCGAGTTTGATTATTCCGATTTCCTTGGTGGGCTAAGGTAAGGGTAATTAACAGCTAGACATAAAAATCTCACCTGTTCACGCCCTGTATAATCCAACTTCGACCTTCAAAGTGGGCGTACTCAAGCAACATAAATCATACATGCCGTATACATAAACCTTTGAAGGGAGCATGACAACACGCAAACGCATACCTGTGTATACATGTACATTGTGCATGCACATGTATGTGTGTACATTGTAGACCCTAGTTTGTGTTCCTCTGTGTGTCTCGGTGTGTCGTCAACGCTGTATTCGACAACCGTAAGCATAAGGAGAAAGTTGCCGTTGTACGCGCTCTTGTGTGTAGTATGTGTGCCGCGTTCAGTTGCTGTCTAGTATGAGATATCCGTACATGTAGCTGGGCTGGTGGTGCGTATTGCCTTGATGTGGATCACCTAACTCGTGGCCTTCTAAAGCCCGTCGAAACGTATGCCGTTTCAGATGTATGGTCTCGTGGTGTGTGTGTGTGTGTGTTGTGTGTGTGACTGTGTGTGTGTGTGGTGTGTGTGTGTGCATGTGTGCGTGTGTGTGTCAAAATGCATGCCGTTTCAGATTTATGGTCTCGTGGTGTGTGTCTGTGGTAGGGACCGGCAGATTCTGCTCGAAAAGCAGTGAAATTGGCAGAACCATACAAACCTTATGGCGGGCAATTCCTCGAATTCTGCTCCATTTCTTTATCCACATACCAAACATGCATGAACCTTACCAGAAAAAGTACCGAATTCTGCCAATTTTTCTGCCGGCAGAATCCGCTGGACCCTAGTCTGTGGGGGGGGGGGGGTTGTGTGTGTGTGTGTGTGTGTGTGCGCGCGTGTGTGTGTGTGTGTGAGTCTGTCTGTCGCGCTCACAATATCTCGTTTTCTGCTTATGAAGCTACATGTACATGTATGTGTTATTTGTAGAAGATTATAATGTAGAGGTGACCATCTGCTTTGCGTTCCTCTCTGCTTGGCCTGCATTATCAATTTAGCAGTACTGGTTTTGTTCTTCACACGTACCCCCCCCCCCCCCCCCCCGCACACAAACACACACACACACACACACACACACACACGCGCGCATGCTTATGTATACGGTTTCAGTTTGAAAAATGCAAAGTGTCCTGTACATGTGTGCGTCTGATGCATTCACACGAACTTCAACGGTCTATGCATATGCCATGCACGCGTCACTTCTCATTTGAGGAAAGAAAACCAAATCATATCAATGCAATCACATACATGTATACAAACTTTTAAAAGTGAGTGAATGTACAACGTACGTTTGTCTTGTTTATGCTGTGTGTCACTTTGCTCTGGGCATGGAAATTCTGTCGTATTCGCGAATTGTCGTTGTATACGCAGTGGTTATTAGAGAAGTTGACTGTGTGTGAATGTACAAAGTACGTTTGTCTTGTTTATGCTGTATGTCACTTGCTCGGCCACCCGTGTCGCGTTCTCTGTTTCAGCTATTGCTACTACACTGTTCTAGCTGTCATGTGTGCGTATCCGTGCTCGTTTGTATTCCTCCGACGGTGTGGCACACACATGTGATGTATGCGAAGTGTATCCGGCATGTACGAACAGTGTGTGTGTATCCGCGGCACGCATGTTTGTGCTCCACGCGTGCATGTAGGATCTAAACGTGTGTAACGCAAGCGTGTGGGGCACACCCATTACGTCTGCGGCACCGTGACATGGCCAGTATGTGATGTCCGACACGGGTGTGCAGGAGTGGCGCATGGGCGTGTTCGCAGTGTGCACGTCTATACTGCAGCGTATTGTCCTCTTTCCTGGTCCCAGGAGTGTTTTGGATCTGTGGAAAGCACGTGAACTGAATACAGTGCAGTTAGTTTGAACTCTTGCGTGCTTTCTGTGCACAGGTTTATCTACGGAATTGAGTATGGTCAAGAAATGCGTCTGAAAAACCTGGAGCACCATCGATTTTGCCATAACCATTACTCGAATGTCCGAGAGCAGGGTCGAGGGCAACCACATTGTCGAAAACTACACCTGTTCACGCCCTCCTTTCAGGTTACTGGCTCGTTTTCGCCGACTGCTCTGAATCGTACGAAAAATTCAAATGTTCTCCGCCGAATAGCATCGTCACAAAGTCTTCCGGATCATTTTCGATATGCACCTCGCGAACATACCACCTTCCTGCACCTATACACCACAAACAATGCATGCTCCATTCGACGAGGTGGGTGTCATGAGTGTTCTTTCACGTCAGTCGCCGAAAGTCATTTCAGGGTGAGAATCGTTCTCAAGAAAAAGATCGCAAAAATCAGTGTAAGTCTCGATGGAACGCTTGAGGATGGACTGTATTCGACCTAGATATTTGGATCGTTGGATTTGAGCGAGATTTGACTGAGTTACGATCTTTTGAAGTTTTGCATTCTTGCCAGATCGATCATGCGCCCTACCAAAAATGCCCAAAAACGTTGCTCGTTTGGAACATTTGGGGGGTTTCCGGGCAACGGGAAACCCCCCCTGCCTACGCGCCTGGAGTAGATCTACTGCTACTAGTACGTAGTGTAGTCTGATGGCTGTGGTGGTATCAGGTTATCCGATGGTCGTTTAGTCTTTTGTTTGTTTGTCAACACAATGGTGTCTAAAGATGAGGTGCATTGATCCTGGTGGCAGATGGTAAACATTCTTGAGCAGTATCGTTGTTTCTATCAGTGAATTATGTATTCTGTAACTGTGTATTAGGTTGTACCGCATACGTGTAAAGCATCATAGTAATACAATGTACATCTAATTCACGCAAGCATCAGATCAACTTGAAGCAATCACGGTACAGTACTAGTAGTATGCAAATATAAGCGTGTTGGCCAAGAACACAATCACGACATGTTCAAGTGGAATCAGTTGTCATTGCCAAACTCTCCTGAGACTAGGAGCAACCATGCCAACACTCTACACACCAGCCTAGCATGCGGTAGCACACTTGCAGGGCTTTATGAGGACAACCGCGAGCAGTAACAAGCAACAGTACACTGAGAACTTGATGAATTGGCCTCCTCTGACATTGTCATTATAGATATTATAATAATTCTAATCGTCTAATGACATCATGCTCTGTTGTGTAGGATGATTGGTATAGGTGATAATACAAATAAGGAGAGAGAGAGAGAGAGAGAGAGAGAGAGAGAGAGAGAGAGAGAGAGAGAGAGAGAGAGAGAGAGAGAGAGAGAGAGAGAGAGAGAGAGAGAGAGAGAGAGAGAGAGAGAGAGAGAGAGAGAGAGAGAGAGAGAGAGAGAGAGAGAGAGAGAGAGAGAGAGAGAGAGAGAGAGAGAGAGGAGAGAGAGAGAGGGAGGGAGGGAGGGAGGGAGGGAGGGAGGGAGGGAGGGAGGGAGGGAGGGAGGGAGGGAGGGAGGGAGGGAGGGAGGGAGGGAGGGAGGGAGGGAGGGAGGAGAGAGAGAGAGAGAGAGAGAGAGAGAGAGAGAGAGAGGGGGGGGGGGGGGGAGAGAAGGAGAAGGAGAAGAAGAGGGGAGAGGGAGATAGATAGAGAGCCGTGCAAGAACGGCGTAGCACAGCTGTAGACTTGCCAATGTACTTGTAGCAAAATCTGGGGGCCTCTGGGGTTGAGGACAATGATCGGTTGACAGCGGGTCGTCAAAAGCTTGTGGCTGCCCAGAATCGGTGGCGCCGGCAGGTATGCAGTCCTCTTCCGGATACAATCTTTGGCGGCTCGAAGAAGGAAAGGATGTACACGACTTGTACTGTAAGTTGTAGATGATCCATGAACGTCGTAGAGGACTGATGAGTGATCATGGTGATGGCGAGAAGTCGAGGACTACTCCGACTCAGTCCACCTCTTGCTATGCTAGCACAGTAGCAGTACACATGGTACCAAGAGTTTATCTACTCTTGATGGTACATGTTACTACTTAGTACAAGTCGTTATAAGTCAGTGCGCACGTGACCTGAAAAAGTGGCCGAAAGTGCCCGAAACACGTGCAAGGCTAGGGACAGTCCCCTACAATCTTGGTACAGAGTCAGAGAGAAGATTTGAAAAACGATATCAGTTTGTTTGATAGAAAAGGTCACAACCTCTTTCTTTTCATCGAACAGCTAAGAATCGTATCTGTAGGCCCAGCATCTTTGATTTTGCGTGCGAAGAACCTTCCACCCACTTGGAACGATTCTGTGTCGGTCGATTCTCATCCTTGCTCTGACCGACGTAGTCTATGTAATATCGAGAAAATACATTCTGGTGACATAATTCAATAACTAGACTGTGAGAAGTAGCCATTAGCCCTGCCGTTGTTGAGAGGAGTCAGTAGAGCAGCTGCGTAAATACTGTTTCCTACGACGAACCGCTGCTCATCCCGGAGCTGTCTCTACTTGCTGTTGTGCAGCTTCGTTGAAGGCCTTGGACAGGGCCAGTGCCAGTGTAAACACAATGAGTGCATCAGGTACGGCATGAATGAATACCTACCTCGATTCCTAGCATCCCATATTGTTAGCTAGATATGGATGAACATTTTGAAAACACAATAGCTCGCACGTACATGTACACACACCATAAAATAAAACTAGTTGTACAGTGTACTGGTCAAGTATCCAGTATCTCCTCCATCCAGGCCTGGCCTCTTTCTGGTGCATGTACTGTATGTGCACTGACTGGATGTTGAAGAAAATACAAATTAAAAGCGATCAAGCGTTTTGGAGACAGCAGCTTTAATTCACCAACAAGAAGGACTAATTTCCGAGGCTTGTTTTGTGCCCTGCAACCGTCGTTTTACACTGTACTCATGCATGTCGACGAATAGGAAGTGCTCACAACGAAATTAGTCCTTGCTGCTGAATTAAACGATCCATGTAAATGCCAGTCACATGTGCACACTGACTTCTCCGCATCTGAAGAATAATGGTCATCTATTTCGGAAGTAAATTTCGTTTTTCTGGCTACCATCCAGAGGCCTGAAAGACAGGTTGAACTCTACCCCCCCCCCCCCCCAAAAAACAGACTGAAAAAGTGTGCGAGCTGAAAGCTAAAAGCCAGACTGTGCTGAATTTGACAATGGGCATGCCGGCTATTCTGATCTGATCTGATCTTTGCTGCTGTCGTCTGTGCAATGTGCACAGGAGTGGAAGCATCCAGCGGCGGTGACGTCGTCCTCACGTTCAAGGTGAAATGGCAAGGCAAGGAGTACACGGTTGAGCATCTGCACACCGGCTCGAGAGTGGGAGAACTGAAGGAGTGCCTGTCGGATCTCACCGGCGTGCAGCCACACCGTCAAAAGTTGATTGGCTTCAAGCACAGTAAGAGGAGGTGGTTCTGATGGTGGACTTCATCAGTTCATCATGTCTGTTTGATTTCCGTTAGACTTTGGTATTGCCGGCCAACTTCAAACACAGTAGGAAGAAGTGGTTGTCAGTCTGCTTTGGTTTTCTCTGACGTAGACTTAGCTGTTGGTGGCCGGCTATCAGTGTTGTTTGTCTACACACTGGTATGTTGCAGAGGGAGTACCATCCGACGACACTCTCTTTTCAGCCATCAAGCATCAGCCGGTCAACAAGCTGATGATGGTTGGCTCGCGAGAAGACGATATTGTGAGTTGCTGTTGTGTACACTAGCCATGTGTATGATCACTATGATGTGTTATGTGCCCCTGACTTTTTAGAAGTGTCTCCTTTCAAAGTGAGTCTAAAGTTTTGCTCCGCTTTGTTCCAAGTTGAATGCAGTCATAAACTTGTTTTGGTGACCTCCCGACGTGTGGTCTCTGAAGACAGGTTGTCTCTGAAGACAGGTAGTCTCTCACTGGCCTCTAAATCCAGGTTTTTTACTGGACATGTGCTTTGAAGTGCATGCATAATATATATGTCCGCTCGTATATCGATATAATTTGGGGTAGATATCCGGTATACTTACAAAATTTGATGTGTACCCATTGGTGCGTGTGAGGGGGGGGGGGGGGGGAGCATGTGTACATACATTGCATGTGCCGTCCTTGTTGTAATCAGGTCTTCAACTCTTTGTAATTATCATGTGAGATTGTTTGTCTATCATAGTACTGGTATGTGTTTCTGATGCCAGGGTTGTCATTTTGTGTTTGTGTTATACTGATAGGCTGCCGCAGCACCTACCCAGGAACAAGTTGAAGCCGCTAGTAGCTCGGCTGACGACGAGGACGTCTTTGACATTCCGGAGGATGAGATGGCTCCAGTACACAAGCAGTAAGACTGGTAGTTTGCACACCACACTCCACAGTTATTGCTTGCAATATCATACTTATATTCCAACATGAGTGCGGTCATGTCCTCTGCTGTGACTTCTACAGTACACTCGCTGCACAAACAGTACGGTACCAGAAACTTCTAGAGACATTTACAAAATGGTGTTCGCAACTTTGGCGATAGTGGAGGCAGTGTGTGTTGCTCCCTACCAAGCTGGAGAGTCTTCGAACATTCCCTTTACTAATGATTGTGCGAACATAGTCGTGAAGATTCAGAAGTACTGCTGCATGACAAGGTATGACAAGGTAGGCATTGTTTCATGGTCTTACTTGCATGTCCACTGCATTGCTTATGCCTCGCCATGTGTTTTTTTTTTTATCAGGACTGTAATCAGTGGTCTGATTGTACTGTGCTAGATTAGTGTTCTGTGTGTTCTATCCGCCATCTCTGTCTCTCGCGCAGGGCCATGTTTCTGGACAAGATCAGTCGGCGTGTAGAGCAATATGACATCAAGTTGGTCAACCCGCTGCGCGACGATCGCAAGCTTCTTGTCTTGGACATCGATTGCACTTTCTTTGGTATGTTTGTGTCGAATGATCATTCAGTAGCATGTACTTACCATATTTTCAGGGGTATTAGCCGCACTTTAAAACGCATAACAAGACTCTGAATATAATTCGTTTTGATGAAACGTGACCATGAAACTGTGCGTTGATTGCTGGACGTGTAATGACATTACAGTCCATTCGGGAAACAAGATATCCTAGCTTTTGGCCATAAATGGGTCAAATTTTGAGTTTTTCACAATTTTTTTCTGCAATCCCCATGGAATCCTCTTCCAGTTATGTTTCTGAAGTCTATTTATCTGAAAAGCAAGCCATAACAAAAATAGGATTTCGGCCAGGTTTTGTCTTGTAAGCACTGAATTGGGAAAGGCCATGAAAATCCAATCCGTTTCACTCCACTTGCATCACTGCATTGTCCGGTTCGAACCAGGGAGGTATTGTACTACTCCCTGGTTCGAACCCCAGTTGCAGTTGAGGTACCTTTTTTGGACCCTTTTTCTAACCTCAAATTTTGCAGTTCTGTGTACGATAAAACCAAGAGTATATATATGGGGGTTATATACTTTTGATAAAACCACAAAAATCGCCAAGCACAGGAGCTCGCCAGAGCCAGCCCTCATCTTTTTATGAATGGACTGTAGTGAAAATGCAGTCTGGCTTTGGCTTTGTTGTTGTTGTTGGCACCAGACCACAGATCCAAAGCAACCACCGCTCAAGAGCTTGCACGGCCGCACCTGCAGGAATTCTTGACCACGGTTTATCCTCTCTACAACATAGCAATATGGTGTAAGTCGTCTCTCTTTGTCATGCAAACGCACACACACACGCACACGGGCACACAATAGTAGCTTTACAGTTGTGAAGTACATGCGTATGAATGAGCTAGCGCTTTGCATGAAACACACAGCCTAGAATTCATACTTCCTCCGGAAACGAAATAAGAATGTTTCTCAAATGTAAAAAAATCTAGGTTTTACTGTCAATGATATCCGGTCTCATGAACAAGTTAGCACCCCCTGCACCCATGCACAGTCCAGTGTTGCATATCTGAGGCTACATGTACAGGTAAATAACAATTGGCGTTATTTGACACAGGGGACTAAGTTCCATTGAGCAGCGCACTGTACATGTGACTAGCATTACAATGGCCAGGCCAGTGAGACTGGTTTCTATGCTGGTCATTGTGTTCCACAAGAGAACACAATGACATTGTGATTACGCTTTCTGTAAGAATTGAATAGTCAGTGGACAAGTGTCCACAATATCCGAATTGGATTTCTTCTTGTGCTTTGGTTCTCCTTTGTACAACACAGCTGCAACTGGTATGAAATGGGTTCAAACAAAACTGCAGGTGAGCAATGGCTACGGCGCTCCACTGTACTACGTGTACTCCGGGGAGTCGTACCCGAATCCCTGATGTACACCGTGTTATCCATGAACAGAATGTGCACTCCCGTACCCGTCACCAATGTTCTGGGTGTCGGCGGCATGGCTTTCAAAGTTCTAACTGTTGTTATCCGCATTCATCACATTTATTCCATTGTACAACTATGCTGGTCGGTGCATCTACATGTACTCGGGGAAATAAGTCTGATCTGTTTTGGCGTTTGGTTTGATGCCACGTGCCATCAACCATCAAACCTTCTCTCATGGTCGTTTTGCTCAGATGATGGCTGCGGGTTGAAGTATGGGTTGTTTTTAAAATTTAGTTTTTCAAATGCAGTAAAGAGATCATGGGGCAAGGTGTTCTGGTTTCTGACTGACTGAATAAGTGCACCGGCACTGTGATTGTATTGTTCTCGGTGCTTTCTTTCTCGAATATGTCTTCACAACGCTGTGTAGGAATTGGGTATGCTATCCAACCCAGCCTACTCCATTTCATTCATGTTGGACGAACTGGCGATGATATCGGTGTACATTGAAGGCCAAGGCGGTCTGCTGAATGTGAGTTCAGGGTTGCTCGATTTGCTAATGGGCGATTCAGACTACGGCCAAAATCACGTCTGAACTTGAATTTCCATGGTGATGCAGCCGTGTTTCAAATAATTATGCACAATCGCTGATCAAACACGTCTGAGTCGTAGAAACGTGGTCACAGTTGGCCGTAGTCTGAATCGCCTATAATAAGCTACTCATCGGGTTCTGATGTTGACCTCAGGGTGTAACCATGGTTATGCATACTGAAGTACTTGCATTGCAATAGCAGTGCGATGTGTGAACACGAGTCAATACATGCCTTGCTCAACCAACACCACTGGACAGTCATTCTGGAAGAGTTTATTTGTAAAAAAAAAAAATGTAATCATCGTATCTGTTCCCAAGGGAACTCCCGACGGCCGCTAACACCCGGAAAATCCATTTAAACAGATGGAAAGGTACAACTGGCCTCAGCCAATAACAACAAGACAAAAACAGCAAGACATGCACGCGCGTATAGCTATTCAACATACACAACACACGCGTGCACATGCCTTTTGGTTGAAGGTTTACCATTTGCAATTTTTTTCCCATTTGCTTGGCCGATTTGAGAGTTCCCTTCTAATTTTTCCAGTTCAGCTATAGCCCAGGGGTTTTGTAAAATTTTTTTGGTGTTTACTGGGTGAGATTATGATGGTTTCATGCTGGATTTGTTTGCATTTGTCTTCTATTTCCAGACCAAGCCACTTGGTGTTATCTGGGGAAAGCTGAAGCAGTTCTCGCAGAAAAACACTGTTCTCGTGGATGACTTGCGGCGAAACTTTCTAATGAATCCCCGGAATGGAATAAAGGTGAGCGTGTATGGCAAGCACATGAAGATGGACAGCTGGAGTGAGAGTGTAGTGTATGCTTCTGCAGCTCTGGTGTTTGATAGTGGCCGCTGCATTCTCAAATCAAGGGTCTTTAGCGTGCGAGTGAGCTGCTCCGCAAGGTCACACTGGCCGAAAGAGTATTGCATAGCAGAGCTTTGAGCTTCGATATAACAGTTTATCGCCTTCTTAGTATTTGACCCCACTAATTTCCCTGATACCTAAGCGGTCAAATATATCGCGTATTTGACTGCTTAGTCAAATACACGATATATTTGACTACTTATATTTGACTCCTTAGAACTTCTTGGACTTAGAAATTTTCTCTCCAACTTAGAAAAAGAAATTTTTGAAGAAAGCAGAAATACACAAGATGGGATTTGAACCCACAACTTTGTGAATCTCAGTCACTCTTCCTTACCACCCAGCCACTGTGCTACCGATGCTGAACCTAGTTTAAAAAATGATCTTGACTTTCAATGCAGGACAATGCGGTATAGGCTATAGTATAATACTAGAATTACAATGATATGTCGTATATGAAGAGAAACTATTGTGTGGAGAACACGATAAATAGATTATAGACCTCATAGTTGGTCTATACAGGATATATAGACCTCGTAAAAGACCTCGGGGGACCTCGGTCTTTTACTCGGTCTATATATCCTGTATAGACCTCCTAACCGGTCTATAATCTATACTTACGTATACCAACCCGAAACCGGGTTTTCCTTTGCTCGAGATAGCAAAGAAAAGAGGTCCACTGTTATAACGTTAGTGATTTTTGTGTTACGAAGATACATCATACTTGTAGTGACCTGCTATCCACTTTCCTATGCAAGGCTAGACAGCAGCACCAGCTAATATATCATAGGTTATTATTTTGCCCTACACAAGTCTGCCCCTGCCCCTACCCCTACTGTATGTACATGGCCTGCACACTTCTCCGCAACATCTTTTTCCTGCGTGTTATTTGTTTGTTCCCCGTACAGATCAAGGCTTTCAAGCATGCCCATGTGAACAGAGCGACGGACAGGGAGCTGCTCAAGCTGACCAAGTATCTGGTGAGCCTTGCCTCTTGTGATGACCTATCCGCGATCAGTCACCGCCACTGGGACCGTGAATAGCCAATGTCGGCAGCAGCGGCTTGAGAAGTTGTAGTTCCTCTCACATGTTGTGAAACACTTGTGTTGCGTATGGTAAGCTCATATCTGATACATATACATAATACTATAACAATGAAGCAGCAAGCCTCACACTCACCCACTCACCAGGAAACATCACACGACAATGGACAGCACCGGCCATGAACAAACACGCAACGGAATTATCGCCACCTTGCACGAACACGTCTGTATCGGTTTTCATCAGTGTTTTTAAACGATTTTAACACGCTTTCATCAAATGCCACAGTCCCTCGAGACATGACGAAATCACACACAAAGCTGATCATTTCACCTTTGCTTCATGCAAGCAGTGAATATACATGTACTTCTTTTGAAGTATGTAACCAATGGCAACAGAATATGTCCAATTATAATGAGCTCATTCAAAATACTTCTGCATGTACATAAAGTTGCAAAGAAATGCCTGTGAATTCGATCTGCCATACGAGAATATCACATGAAACAGCAAATAAAAAGTCTCTAACATCGCTCAAACCGTTCTTGTTGAGCCAGCGGGGATGCAGCAGGCAATCTCAGGTTCATGTGTGGTCTTCAGCATAGGCACATGTGTGTCCTTCAGTACCATAGGCCCATGTGTGTCCTTCAGTACCATTCAGTCAGTGACACAGTATCAGCACTGGATCACGACAAACATAACCATTGAGTGAGCAGCTCCACTGCATTGGGCACTCGCTTACCGACGGCACATATGCCTGGTCATTCCAGTTGGCACGTCGGACTTCCGGAGTCCATAGATTTTGACAGAATCTCTTGAAAAAAAGTGCAAATAGTTTGCTCAAGAACAACTCCGACGATCAGTAGCCATCATTGCTGTAATCTATTTTATATGCTGGGTACTGCTCCTTTAGAAGTCGAACTGTTGCCGTGTGGTCTGCTCGTCCAAAGCCCACAGAATAGCCATATACTAAGATAGACTTGGCGGCTGGATCGTGCCTGATCCTGCCCCCTCCCAGGCATGATGCAGTGATGGTCCTGTCACGGCCGAATTCCCCATCAGTGACTTTGTCCAGAATATCGGCTGTAAGGAGAAGAAACAGAGGAAAAGAGGGCCAGAATCTCAGCACAGGCATCTCATACAAGTGAAATCCAACCACATTTCAACCGGAACAGTCACAGAACAGCAGTACTATGGACATTGAGATACTAGTATGCATTAGGCGCGGTGTTGTTTGTTCATGGGGTTGGATTTCACTGGCAACGTTCCTGTCACTGTACAGTATCACCGTGCACGCATCTGTGCTGCTCAATAAACCCTGCTACCTCGGCTTAGCCCAGTGCCTGGTGTCACGCAGCCACAGACCTCCATCACTGTAAGGGCCATGGGCGCACATCGCTGACTCAACCCACAAGCCCGGATTTAACAGTTGCGGTAGCGGTACCAACCGTAAAGAGCGGGCAATGCCCATATTGTAAATATAAAACAACAGACCAAATTCATCAGAACTAGTATCTGTGTGCAGTTCTTAGATCTAACAGATTATTAAAGTCAGATACCAGATTCTGTAGCAGATGTAGATTTAGGCGTGTGATTCTACTGTAGTATTGTGGCAAAAAAATGAACCCCGTGCATGAATACTGATACAGTGATAAGGACGGTATAACCTACTCAGCACACTTTGGAATAAGCTAGTTTACTGTCCTCTTTTCTCAGAATGATAAAAATAAACGCAACAGGCTGAGGCAGTAGATCTACCTATAAGGCTATTACACTTACCATGGTATTCACAAGTACCATCGCCCCGGATCACGACTTTCTTGGCGTCGCCCGACTGAAGGGAGATTTGAATGTATTTGAAAACGCCCTCCGGGTCAATTTTGACACTGGCAATAGCATCCATCCTCGGTAGAAGGGAGAGAAACCTTTTCTGAATCAGAAACCGAGTTGTCATTGAAAACAATATTCATTCAAGACAGGGAGTCGTAAAATATTTTACGACTCCCTGATTCAAGATAAGAATGACTGATATCCTGCATGCCTGCTGATGAGATTTTGAATATTTTTGCTCGGATGGAGTGTCATCGTGCATCATGCATGCATTGCATGGCGCGTGGCCCGTGCATAACCATGATAACGTCTTCGAGGATTTACACCCATGCAGTCACGCTTGTCTTGGAAAAAGATCACAAGACACAACACCGTTCTCTTTTTATGACAGAAGGGAGGTGAAGGGTCCAACTCACTCCTAAACTAAACTCTTCTCCTCTTCACGTTCTTTCAACTTCTTACCCCTGGCCTTGTTGGAGAGGTGATGACTACGTAGAGATATTTCAAGGATTGCCAATTTGCTGATTGGTTAGTGAATACTTTCCAGCCACGATGGCCTCGAGCAGGCGCTTGGATGTTCTGACGTCCCATTTGCGTAAGCCAACTACTGACTCTCTGGAGGTACAGGTCACCTCAGCATCTGGTGCTACCCTCCCTACCTCGTATTGCGCAGCCGATTCTGCACTAACAGCAGCCGAAATAGAGCATTACGCTCGGCATGGATTTGTCGTCAAGAGGGGCTTGGTTGATCGCCAATCCACACAGCAGTACAAGGAAAGGTTTCGCCAAATCTGCTCTGGCGAGGTCAAACTAGATCCATCTGCACTGATCATGAGGGATGTGAGCATTGCTCGCTCCGAGTACGTAGTGGACGAGAAAGCAATAACCAAGGTACAGAACTTCCAAGATGATGAGGTCTTGTTTGGCTACTGCAGCCACCCGGCCATTCTACCGTACGTACAGGCCATTGCCGGCAATGACCTCATGTCGATGCATACAATGCTGCTGAACAAACCACCCGACACGGGCAGTAAGAGCTCGCGCCATCCGCTTCACCAGGACCTGCACTACTTCCCGTTCAGGCCCGCCGATCGGATCGTGTGCGCGTGGACAGCGTTGCAGCATGTCGACCGCGAGAACGGTTGCCTTGTAGTACACCCTGGAAGCCATGCCACCAATCCACTACTGGCACACGGCTATCCGGAGTGGAAGGGCGGTGTCAACAAAATGTATCACGGTATACCTTTGGAGAGTATGCCACCGAAGTCCGAAATGGTACATTTGGAGATGGAAGAAGGTGATACAGTCTTCTTCCACCCTCTACTCATCCACGGCTCTGGAATGAATCGAACAGACGGCTTCCGCAAGGCAATCTCTTGTCACTACGCCTCCTCTCACTGCGTGATGGTCGATCTTGCGCCGACGCAGAAGATCATGGACGACGAGGTGCAGGAGATTGCTCGCATTCGCCTTGCCAAGATGGGAATGGCCAGCGCTAAGCTGACGACGCACGACGCTTGGCGGATTCGTGCTCGTTTGGTGTCTGGCGAACACGGCAGCCTGACTGCTTGAGCGCAGTGCTAGCAACCCAATACTAGTGGAACGTCCACCTTTTATAGGAAAGCTGGTTGAGCGAATTATCGGAAGTCGGTACCACTATCCCGTACATCCACCTTTTGTTTTGACGATGCGACGGTGTACCTATCAGCTAATGCAACCCTGGCCAGTGTTCGCCTGGACAAGCCGTATCTCCAGTCATAGCCCAGCAATTCCGTACCTGGCAATCATAATGCCAAATTTCTTGTAGTTGCCCATGCTCTCAACTTGTTTTTTTTCTAGAACGTTAGGTTTGCATGCAGCTTTGTCGTTTTTTTATTGTTAGTGTTTGCTTTTATAGCTCTTGATTGACAAATTCACTTCATTTTAAAAAGCTCTCAAATTACTAGTTGGCTAGTTGCACTATTATGGTAGCATATTTATTTACATTGAATCCTACAGCCATGCAGGCCTGTAGGCATGTTGGTTTGTTGCTAGCAGGCCACAGGATATGCATAGCGAGGCGTTCTTATTTTTATTACCAAATATTTTAGAAATACACCATACATGTCAAGCTGTGCGGTTAGGTTTGCCTTGCGAATATGCAATAAGATATTGATCTGTTCATCACCAAATACTAGTATTACTGATGATATAAAATGCTGCTGCTGTTGCCACTATTCGGGGGGGGGGGGGGGGCATTGAGGCATATACTGGTATGTATGATTTTAATGGGCACAAATATATGTAAACAAATATAAACATGATGTGCATGGCGTTGAATGGAAATTTGATAAATATTGATCACAACGACATCCACATATTTTTCATTCTGGCAGAGGCAAATCACACTAGTTTTGCACATGAACAATATCTATAATTATGGCAGCAAGCAAGCGCCGTACGTTGGCAAGACGCAGTGCATCATGGCATTGAGTTCTGAAAAGCAGTACAACGCATAATGTGTCAGTATGATCATGGCACGAATGCCGTCATGGCAGAGACTTTTATCAAGGAAAGCTAACAGACTCAATCAAGGGGTTAAGTTACATGTATGTGTCATCAATGTTAGATATTCACAGTCTGGTGATGCAGTCGGACAATGTTTTCAAACTTTGCTGCAAGACGGTTCACCACCGGAATTGTTGATGTTGAAGTCATCATGAAGTGCGCGGTCGCAAGGGTGTTATCGCCGCCTAGCCGTCTGAGTGAGCCTCTTGCCGGCTGTTGCTGGACTGCCACGGCCAGTCAGCGATACTCCCTCCTGAAAGCCATAGTGCACGCAAGTCGAAAAAGCGAGGAGAATGTCATGTGTGTGTGTGTTTGGGGAGGGGGGGGGGGGGGGGGCGATAACGACTGTTCAGGTCTGAGTTTGGACAACAATGGACCAAATCTTAAACATGTCTAGTGGGTCACATCTTTTAGGGTTACCTGCACGTGTGCGTTCCTCAAGTTGCCTGTGAATCCAAACCCTTATCTACTTGCGTAGATGAAGGGAGGGCAACATGGTCACGGGGGAGGGTATACATGTACTTTAAACACACAATTACCAGCACCACAAGTAGGTGTGTGCCCTTGAAGCTTGCGGGGCACACATCTAACAATATGCACATGCAGTGCAATGTACTGTAGCGGACATGAAGATCCAGTCGATTGACCGGGGCCGGCGCCCTCAGCGCGTACAGTGTGCATGTAACTCTTGATCAGATGCAATCAAATCAGCGCGCTGCTGCATGCAGCGCGTAAACATCCATTTGTGTACCGCTTATCCACGGCTGCATGGCCAGCGCCCTGAGGCCGCTAGACGTGCGACCGGATTTCCATGTCCACAACAGTACATCCTAAGAGATCAAGTGCAGACTCTGTAGCATTGTACTACGACTACTGTTGAGATAGACAGACTATCGCTCAATCATGGTACGTACATGCCTGTTGATTTGCATTATTTGACTAATTACTTTAAATCAAGATGAAGCTACAAAGTAACAATCTGACAAAATATCTCACCCCGTGCTCCGCCATGCGATCGTGTGCAGCGCTGGAGTCAGACGTTTCTGTTCGCCGTGATGCCTGTCCAAGCTCCACAGAACGGACGCGGTTAGCAAAGTTCAGCGAGCACAGCGTTTCACTGGAGTTCTTCTCGACGGGAGAGACTTGCACCATCATTAGTGTCTTGCTCTCACCACCTGCATGATGCAATGTATAAACAAAGCAAGATGTAAAGTTACCTTCCATCCAGGTGCATTCCTGGGGCTTACAGCACTATCACGTGTGTGTGTGTTCGTGTGTGTATGTGTGTGTGTGTATGTGTGTGTGCGCACGCACGTGCACATGTGTGTATGTGAGTTTGTATATGTGTGTGTGTGTGTGTGTATATATTTGTATGTGTGCGTGCACGCGCACATGTGTGTATGTGAGTTTGTGTGTGTGTGTGTGTGTGTGTGTGTATGTACACGCACACATGTGTGTATGTGTGTGTGTGTATGTGTGTGCGCGTGCGCGTGTGAGTGTGTGTGTTATGTGGTGTGTGTATGTGTTGGTGGAGAATCCTAGCTACTTCAAGTACACCACTCTGTAACAGTTAGTATTATGATGAGCATACCCAATGAGTCCTGCAGTAGATATGTTAGCTTTGAGTTGCGGTACGGGATGTGACCAGACTTCTGCTTCAGGGAGTGGATGACATCACCCAGCGCGGAGAGCGACTTGTTGATGTTCTGTGCCTCCTTCAGTCGCATTCCTTCCGACCCACTCTTGTTTATACGCTCACTGCCTGCCAAGTCGACAAGGTTGAGGCGACCTGCACAGGATCACAGGTGCGAGACACATGTCCGAAACGTACACATGTAGAATCTACAGTGAATTATGATCAACACAATCATACATTATGTGATTTTGGCTCGGATGCCCTTTTAACTTGTACACACTCCTCCCCATACTCTAGCTCATGGGAACATCATCACATCACAAGAGCAGTGGAGAAAGGCTTAGAGGAGACGATCCTTCTAAGCAGACTGGGCGATCAGTGGGCACACACACACACACACACACACACATACGCGCGCACGCGCGCGCACACACACACTGTTGCTAACTGTCACTCTGTTCAGCCAGTTCTTCACTTACCAACGGTCTTGATTCCCGTTGTGCGATTGGTGCCGACCACCCTGATGCTGAGCAGAGCGTGTGATCGGCTGCTGTGCTCGTTCATGTCCGTCACAGCAGTCGCTCTGTTCTCCTTTCCAAGAGCGAATACCTGCAACCCGCACAGTGAAGTCATGGGTTTGCAAGACATGATGAAACAGGGGCGTTGGAAGGTAGTTTAGTATGGTATGGTCAGCCATCTGAAGTACAATGTTACTTGTGGGGAAGGGATGGCTGAGCTGAAAATTTTGGGAATTTAGAGCCCAAATCAGGGCATTTTATTGATCCGCGGGGTACTTGGGGCAAATAGTGGTACGGTCAATACCGTAGTGACCGTACCGTGTGCGACGCCCCTGTGAAATCACAGCCCAGGCCAGCTGTCCCAATATAATTACAGTGGCAATGAATACCGTGCCACAAAAAGTGACTGACATCACAACTTTCATGCATGCAGTGCAAATGAAAATGAGGACTATCTTTCTGTTCAATCAATTCTTCAGCCTCCATGTTATACTACCGCTATCTGTTTGAATCTCTTCGAGTCTTTCGTTTCTCTCTCCCTCTTTCTTCCCTCACTTTTCTGTCGCGTGAAGTAGGCGCAGATGCCAAGAACATAGGTCAGCGTAGCCTGCAGCACCCCATCATGCCGTGCACCCCATTCAGTCGAAGTCTTTTCAGTCTGTTTTTTTTTCATTCCTCTTTCTTTCTTGTTCTAGGAATGAGTACAACCACTACAGCAATGCCTTTGAACGTCAATGGGGTATTACATCAATGGGGTATCACATCAATGGGGTATTACATCAATGGGGTATCACATCAATGGGGTATTACATCAATGGGGTATCACATCAATGGGGTATTACATCAATGGGGTATCACATCAATGGGGTATTACATCAATGGGGTATCACATCAATGGGGTATTACATCAATGGGGTATCACATCAATGGGGTATTACATCAATGGGGTATCACATCAATGGGGTATTACATCAATGGGGTATCACATCAATGGGGTATTACATCAATGGGGTATCACATCTATGGCATGTAAACACTGCAGTGTACATGCAGTTCGAACTGTCTTACCTCATGTACATCCTCCACAGTTTGTACTCGTATCCAGGTCAGGCCGGGCACGTAGTGGCCGTCGGCCGCGTTCCGACTCTGCTTGACCTCCTTGGCCTGGGTGGGAGCGTCGGACAGCAGGTCGCGGATCGTCTCGTTGTAGATCTCCATGACGCTGACCGTGATGGCATACTCCCAGTCCTTATGGCGCTCCTCGGCGACCGTAAACAGCTCTTGCAGTGCTCGCGGGTTGATGCCCGGATTCTCACCATAGCCCTGAAACACCATATTAACACATGGACCATGTCTGCAACTCAGAAGCTGCGACGGACTCGGCCATTTTGAAATTTTGAAACTGTCCACCTCTCCACACTGCGCTCTTGGCCCACATCCACGTTCTTGGATGGAATCTCCATATCCTCCAGACAGCTGTTTCGCTCATTGAGAGCTCCTCAGTGGAGTTAGATAACAGATGAATAACAGATAAATGACAATGTCTGTATGTCATTTATATCTACTGCATCCATTCCAGATGATACATGGATGCTAGCTAGTATCGGTATGTAAACATTGAATTCCATTTAATTTCTGTGAAACATTCCTCCATAGCATTTCTTAGTTTGAAGGAGTGAAGGGGGTTATTATCGTAAGCATTTCCACGTTGAAGTGTAACAGCAGGATGCTGGGCACACAGCAGCAAGGTTAGGGTTAAGTCTAAATAAAAATTACTATTAACCCCAAGACTCGAAAAAGGTACCTTCTCTTTGGGGCAATGATACTCTACCACTAACGCATGGCGTAGTGGTCATCCAAGCTGAAACCTTTCAACGTTTCGAACATTTCTGGCAAACCAATATTCAGAATTTGCAATTATTTTCTCTGTTGCAATACAAAGACCGCTTTAGGAGCTGCATCTGCGCCTTGACCCTTGAGGGTGGTGAAGATGCCACGGATGTGGAAAACTCAGCCTCTAGCTCTATCCGAGTCTCACGAAAATCGTGAATTTGTTGCGCAATACAACACAGTCCTCTTACCTCCATGGTGAATGTCTTTCCACTGCCCGTTTGACCATATGCAAATATGCAGACATTGTAACCATCCACACAGCTGATCAGCAGAGATCTGACCTCGCCGAACACCTACGATTCACAAAAGCAGTGAGTAGGAGAAAGCGGTGAGAACCAGGAGAAACATATGCAAGATCCTTCAAAACAGGATGAGGCATGTTCATAGACATGAAATTAGGTACCGGTACATGTATCAAAATTCCACCAAAAATGGGGTGAAGTATCTCTCCTCCTTCCCCCCTCCACCAGCATCACCACCATCACCAAGTCCCTGCCCAACAGTGAATGTATGTTTGAGGGGAATTTGGCAATCTTACTTGCATGAGTTGACTGCATACGGTGTATCTTGGCCCGCCTAATCAGATTTGCACCACAAATTCCACTTTAGTAAATAATAATTCGAGTAGGTATACTAGGACGTATGTGTTTCTGAGCACTGCAGGCAATGCATGTTCTGTTTGTGCCAGCAATTCAGAAGAATTCACCTTGTCACACGGTGGGTCCATAGTCATTAGGCATCACGCCTGTTTTGATTTCCACTATATAGGTGCCGCATCTAACGCCTGATCATGGGGTGGTGGCGTCCCACGGAAGCGGAAAGGTGGTTCTTGACCAGGGAGTTGTACGACTCCTTGTTCTTGACCTGCCCGGTACGCGAACCCGTCGATTTTTTTATATTTAATTTATTTTTATATAAAGTATACAACAACACAATGTACCTGTTCCTGAGTTGAGCCTGACTTGAAGACCTTGTCCAGCTCGAAGGTCTTTATGTTTCCTCGGTGCGCTACGGACAGAAGGCCGTCGTCGTCGTCATCGAATGTCACAACATGCTCTGCCTGCGCTCCGGTGCCATCCTCCCGGATAGTCGGCCGGACACGCGCGAACACCCGAATGTTGCCCTTGAGCTCCACGATCTCGTTGTGATACTTCTTGCGCAGCATCATCTCCTTCTTGTACTTTCTGACCAGTTCTTTGTTTGTTGTGTCGATTTCGGTAATGGCCGACGTGATCTGAATGCAACACACCACCAGTGCAGTACAGTCTGTTTGATCATTGGCACATGTGCTGCAGATGTGCAGTTCCTAGCTCTTTGAAAATGTTGGCCCTCTGCAGATCCATATTATCGTGGCAGATTTCGGCTAGCCTTTATAGAAATTGCGAATGCTTTGTTTTTGCCCTGTAGAGCAATGTGAGTCATCATGACTTCCTTGGCACTAGTTAGTGTAAAGACTGGTGTGTAGAACACAATTCTAAACGTTCCTGGACATTGATCATACGTCCATGAAGGCTACTTCAGTACTAGTACTAGCTATATGATTGCACAGACTATGGGCACAACTATTACTTCGCAATTTGGAGTGACACATCACGCAGCTCCATTGAAACAAAACAACTATTACAACAAATTTAATACATTCCACAATATCTTTTAAAGCATACAAGAAGGTTTTATGATTCTGCAGGCCCTAGACACAGCTATTACTAGGTTTCACACATCTGTATATCATACGCATGCGCACTGACCCGTTTTCTCATCTGTTTGATGCCCGGACCGACAGTCTGCTGCAGGGCAAGGACCTCTTTCTGTATGTCCTTGCGCGACGTCTTGACCTCGCTGAGCTCTCGTTGGATGGCGGAAACGATGCGCACCATGGCCCCCATCCGGTCCTGAACGCCGGCCATTTCCGCCCGTACTCGCCGCTCCACGTCCGCCACTGCTCTGGCCTGGTCTTCCCTGGCTTTATCCGCCGCTCGGCGTGCATCTTCTTTTTGCCGTTTGGCCTCGTCTTCCATTGATGACATCTAGTGTAATGCAATAAACAGATATTCATTGGTTCGCGGGAAAGATGCAAACGGGAAAAGTCTGAAGAAATATTTTGACTGTCACCACCAGGAATCGAACCAGGGACCTCCGCTTGAGGCCAGTGATGCTCTAACCACTGTGGTGTAGCTGTCATCCCAGCAGACACCCGTTCAACATTAAAAAAACAATAAAAGCACTTGACACAACAGCATTGCACTGGCATGTATTTCTGTTCTATACATTCTATTTTGGTGGTGTTGCTCTTCAGCAGTGTCATCAGTCTAAATCATGTTCTTTCACATGTGCGAACACCCGATGTGCTTTGTGACTGATATCGGCAGGACACAGAGCTGTAGTGCAAGATGTGTTAAGATCCGACCAGTCTTGTAGGCCATAACCACGTGCTGCTAGATCATTCCAGATTTCACTTCCCTACCTGCCGTTTGTACTTGGCAACTTCTCCCTGGGTGTCGGATAGCAACGCTACCGTCTTCTCGTGATCTGCCAGCTTCTTCTGCAGTTCTCGTCGGTCAGTCTGCAGTCCCTGTTCGCTGGCTTCCATCTCCGAGATGAGACCCTGCATCTGCGTGAACTCACCCTGCAATGTGGACAGCTGTGACAGAAACGTGCACGCACAGGCACCGCACAACCCCCCAAACACACACACACACACACACACACACGCGCGCACACACACACACACACACACACACACACACACACACACGCATGCAGGTGTACAGGTGTACGAGTACGTGCATGGGCACACGTGGTTATCAATGACAGCATGTCACGCTGTGTGACTGCAATTACACCAAATAGAGCGAATGATGCCATGGGGTGAGTAAGTGGATTTTCTGATGGGAGGTAAGTATTGATACCGTACTAAGTATTATTACTTACTAGTGAGTCGGCGGATTTCTAATGGGAGCTACCTATAAGCATGCAGCGCGAGTCACTACAATTATAGTGCAAGTGCAGTTCTGTGCCGCGATTCCTCGACTTCACCAAAGTGCCCCAAGTTCTCACCTGATGGTGTAATCGCATACTTAACCTGTATACACAGTTGTCTAAAGTCCTTACTGTGTAACCTGTATAGAGACTACTGGAGGAATTTCAAGGCGATAATATTGATGACATGAATCTGGTAGATCGATCAAACATGGCATGGATTTCACACTGTCAAAGCGCTAGAACACTTCAAAATACCAACCTATCAGTATTAGTGTTCTTTACTGATAGCTACCTACAAGGAGAGAGATAAGAAGCAGAAGGCTCCCTCATTTCCAACATACCTGCTCCTCTAGTAACTTCTTGTCCATTCTGGCCTTGTTGAGGTCTTGTTGGGTGCTTCCTTGTTGCTTGCCACGCTCCTGAGATTGAGCCTCAAGCTCAGTGCGTATGGCCTCCAGTTGACGAATTTTTTTCTGCAGATCATCTGCGTTTAGACAGAAAAAGCAAAAAATCATATCCAAGCCAGTTCAGTTCTATCAAATTCTCTCCGATATTAGCTAAATTTGCCTGGTTTGTTGTGAATTCGTATCCCAGTTCAAATTTTTAATGTTAAAGGTGGATAAAACAATGTCACTTTATATCTGAGTTTGTTAATCAATCTGATATGCTTGAGCCACCCACGTAGAACTGTGCCATGTTAGCATTACACCATATGACATGTACACAACGGTATTCACGTGGCAGTGTGCATGCGCTCTTACTGACGGCTCTCTTGCTCTCGTTACTCTCCTGCTGAGTGTCTTTAAGCTTGGCTTGCAGCTCCGCGCTGGCTGCAACTGCACCGTCTAGTTTACCTTGGAGTGCCTTCTCGTTGCTGCTGGCCTGAGTAGCGGAAAAAAATGCCCAATATACAGAGGGTTTGACCGGCCCCAGTCAATACACAAGGGATATGTGTCACATGACCAATCACCAATCAACACACGGAGGATGTGACCCCATTTCCAACAATCTGCATTGACTCATTACTTGGAGAGAAAGCGGACTGATCAGTAGCCGTTAAACACAACTACCATCAGTGAAATGCTAGTGACCGTGGACGGTGATGTATTGTCACTATTGTAGGTCGTTAGTCCAGAGTCCAGACTGATCATATATTATGCATGTTGCATTCCCTACTGACAAACAGCACGACAGCATCGTGCGGCTGCTATCGAGCTCTCTCACACTCTTGCTCAGTGCGTCGGAAGATCATATCTCGGGTGCCTAATTGTCATGTCACGCCACCTTGCTGAGCTTCTGTTGCACAATGTGCTCATTGTTTATTTTGTCAAGAGCATTGCATTTCTTCTTTGTTTGGTTTGGGGAACACAGCCCCATGCTGTGTACTTTGAAGTAATCAATAGTGAGTCCAGGACAAACGGTACAACTGGATGTGATCAGATGTAACGTCCTACCTGTGACTGCTGCCGTCTCTCGCTTGCGGCAAGCTGAGCCTGAAGGTCTCGGTTGGCCGCACGGAGTTCGTCGACTTCTTTTGCCGAGTGAGCGTCCTGCTTTGCTTGCTGCTTGCTCTGCTGGCTACTAGTAGTTGCTAGCTTGCTGCGAAGCTGGGAGACTTCAGCCTGGAGGTCCTTGACTTTGGCCGAATCCTCCGCAACGCTTGGTCCATTCCCAACACTCTGAGTATCAACATGACAAGGGTAAGCACATGGGATATTTCAGCACATTATCTGTTTGTTTGCTTGGTCATTGGAATAAGGAACCAACCAAGATCACTGGGCCTTACTGGGTGCCACTAATGAATTCAGTACAGCTGTCGGGTTACTATGATGAAGTTGTCAACAGATGTACATGAACTAGCTGTGTCAGGCCTATCGGTAACCGGATCTACAGGGAAACCATGCAGTTTCAAGAGAGCAAAAAGACTAGTCCCAGTCACCTTTCGCCTTTCCTCGCAGCCAAAAGTGAGTAAACAGCCTCCTACATTTTACCTCAGCAGGGGTGTCACTGAGAGCCCTTCTCTTTCCCGTTCAGGTCATGCATTTCCAATACGCAGAAAGAGTAGGCTGCAATGAAGTGTCCCCAGTACCTGTGGTGCCTGTTCGGGGGTACTTTCCAGGCGTAGCTTCAGTTTGTCGATACGGCCTTGGAGGTGCAGTCGCTCCTGCTGCATGTCTTGTTCAGCTTCCTGTTAAAAAAAATAGCATGAATGCAGACACAGGGCACGCCGGGACCATTGTACAGCGCTGCTCAATGAAAATCCAGTCACATTGCTCACGTTTGCGCCTTGCAGCATTTCGCAGCCCACTGTTCGCAAGTCTATGGCTGCGCTACGCCCGGCACGCACTTGAGTGGCGTGACTGGATTTCATTGAGTAGTACTGTCGCTACACGTGGCTGTATTCTACATTCAATGTCAGGATGAGTGGACATATGCTAGTATGCTACCATGCATGTATATATCATCAAGACTTTCATGAGCAAATCTCCTGTTTAAACTCAACCCTAGAACAACAAACAATTTAAAAAGGCCGTCACACAAGAAGCAGATATTCCTCTCATACTTGGTGACGTTCCCTACCAATAGCCAATCAATGATATGCCCTAACAAAGCATTTTTTTTGGCTTGGCTTAGTTCGGGACACATATAGAAATGATGCCAGGGCTATCGCTATTAGATCCCGAGGCTGGACATTTATTTGCAAGGTACTTGCCACTGTGTGTGACTCAGTGCAAGGTGTTCTTTCGATCAATTATGTCAAATGTTCAACTGTGCACCAGAATATTATTTCGGTGTGCAGAATGGCAACATAATTATATGGTCAAATTGAATCTCTGATTGAACCCCCATTGGTAGCTTGTACGTGTGAGTTCAACTTTAGTTGTTAGCAGGTCTGATCTCCTGGAGACGGCTTCACCAGTGAACAGTCCCAGTGGGCACAGTGGGCTTACTAACCTGTGTTTTCTGCTGCATATCCACATTGTCCGTGATCAGCGATGCCTTGTCCTTGTGCAGTGACGAGATCTGCTCCACCAGCCTCTGCAAGGTGACCGACGCTTCTTTCTTCTCCGCCGGTCCCCGCTTGTCGTGTTCGTTCACCATGTCCTCCAGGTTCTGCACTAGTTTCTGTTTGTCGACGAGGACCTGCTCATGGCCTCTCTTCAACATCTTGATGTGCGAGCGGTTGGCTTGCTTCATCTTCTCCATCTCCTGACGGAGAGTGTTCCTCTCGGATTCGTAGCGCTGAGTGCACGGCAGCGGATAGGTACACCAAGAACGTAGAAAGTAAATAAAATGAAGAAGGTCACATGCTACATGTATGTGATAATGCACAACTAACGTTACTTGGGCCCTCACACATGCACATACGTGTATGTGCATGTGCATGCACGAACACACACATGCACATACAATACAACACAAGTACAATAGTGCTCATGCGTAGATGATGGCAGATCCTGAAACTTGAAAGGACCAATAGTGTGTCAGTCATGGAGAATAGAACTTTAAATAGTGAGTAAGATCCTGATGACACACACACACACACACACACACACGCACACACACGCACACACACACACACCACACACACACACACACACACACACACACACACACACACACACACACACACACACACACACACACACACACACACACATGGATTCGCACTACTGGTACCCCTTCCCCCTACCACCCTGCATGGTGACAGCATACGGATTTCTCACCTTCATTCTCTGCATGATTTCCTGCCTCTTCTTTTCATGTCTCTTGAGCTCCTGCACTAGCCGATTTTCTGCACTCTCTGGACGAAAGGACATGGTGCAGAAAAAGCAAATCGAACAATTCTCAATTCTCCATGCATTCGTGAATAGTATGATCACATAAACAGCATGGTTAACTAACTACCTGAATTGTCTCCAGTACTTTGTGACTATCCCAGCATTAGGAAGTTGCTAAACCGTACCACGCATAGTGTCTCCAAATCTGTCTGTCTGTCTGACTGTCTGTCTGTTTGTCTGTTTGTTGTCTGTCTGCCTCGTTTACCATGAATTGACTCACTTTGGTTGGATTGGCGCGAGGAGCTTGATGACACACTCGATGGGTCGTCATCATCGTCGTCATCATCATCATCATCGTCCGCATTGCCTCCAGTCATAGTGTAGCTGATGCTGGTATCGGATGCACCTCCTGGGGCTGTGAGCATTGATATCACAGTGCCCAGGATCCACATCCACATGTACAGCAGCACAATAAGTACAGCCAGTATCGCCTATAGCGTTGGTGTTTGATTTTGAGCATTTTATCACTATAAGCGATATATTACTATGACCGATACTGCATGCAATGTATGCGAGTGGGGTGTCAAACGACTCAGCGCGCCGTGCACATACGCACTACATACATGTACATGATTGTACAATGTCATGTAGCTGGCTGTAGCTCCTGACACACAAAACCAGGATTTCCTCATGATGGAGGCATATTTTGGCAACTTGTACGACTCGTACAAGCAAAACTCACCAAACAACACTCACTGGACAAGTTCTTCATGAAGAAGTAGCACCCTGTTCTCCTCTGACATCGCTTGATTTTACATCAATCACTATAACCGATGCAAAAATAGTGCAATAAACGTCTTTTGAAATATGAAGTTGATCACTATAGGCGATATATTACTATAGACGATTATTACTATACGCGATAACTGTGTATACTTAGTTATGGCAAATGAAAATGAATTTGAGAAATTGATCACTATATCCGGTATATTACTATAGCCGCCAACCTTATAGGCGATACGGACTGTACATGCAAGCATGCTAGATGAGTTTGCACCTTGACATGCGCATGATGACATCATGAGTGCAATGATGTCATCATGCACCGCGCCGTAGTCGGTCAAAGTCAGTATCCCGGCAAAGGCCAACTTTCATCAATTTATGTTACTATACATGTAGTTCTTGACCTGCCCGGTACGCGAACCCGCCGAATTTATTATATTTTATATTTTTTATTAGGGGTGAAACAATTATACCGAGTACTCGAGTACTCACTCGGTTTTTTCAAAAATAATCGTACTCGCAATAAATCAGAGTACTCGTTCATACATGGTACATGCATTTACTACAGAAATCTGCAGTTTCAGGGCAGCAGTCGGCAGATGGTGATGTGCAGACTGTGTGGTGAACATTTGTTTACGAGTAGAGAGAGCCCAAATGACCCACCAACCAATATACCCGAGAACAATGACTGCTACTCGGTTCAATCAGGTTTGTATCATGTTATTTTAAAGCCATTGGTGTGCAATTTTTAGGAGATGAAAAACACTCGAATACTCGAATATTCGATCGGAGAAAATCAGAGTACTCGAACTCGGGATCTCAGTGCCAACTTTCACCCCTATTTTTTATACATGTACATAATTGTTGAAATACACTTCAAGCATGCACTCTTCTCCTTGTTAGACGTGGTTGGCTATAAAAACCCTGCAAGCGCCACGTAAAGTGATTATTGGCTACCCCAGCCATGTATTGTTTGGAAGAAAACTAAAACTAAACGTACAAGTCAAATACCGCAAAGCGTGTTTAGCAATTGAGCAAGAATTTTTTGATCTCTGAGAGGTTTCCATTTCCACTCAATCAATAAAGAGCATGATACCGGTTTACCATGGGAGCATAGCACTGTATGTGATTGAGTGCTCTGCCAAGCTTACGATACCGAGGGTCACTGTGTGTGGTGACTCGCGTACCGTGCAGAAAGAAAATAAACTCCCTCCCTGGCCGCAACTTCGTTGAGGTCTGGTTGGCCATAGTAGCCATCATTGTTGATGTCAAACACCATACATGTACTTACCAAGGTTTATACAAGTAAACTTTTAAAAACTTGTTCTATCACAATATCGAAAGAAAGGTGTCAGCACCGACGCAATCCACACAGTCAAGTATAAAAGCCATTTTATTAACCGAACGTTTTCATTCCTTTCTCATTATGGGTAAATACAGGGAATAATGGAAAAATGTCTATCACAATAATCCATTGTTTGCTGTAGTGCAATGCCTACCTGTTAGTCCTAGCTCATCGAGCATGTCCTCCGCTCTAGACTCTCTGCCACCAGCCATACCAGCCTTCCCAAGCTCGGGCTTGTACACCTTCGGCGTCTTGAAGCCTCCATTGATGCCGCGCTATAGCCAACAGTTATACACACATATACACAAAGGGCAGAACAACAGAGACCAAAAATCTTTCTCGTAACTCAGAGTTTCGTGTTCAAAAACACTCATCAGACAATAAAAACATAATGATGCTATTCACTAGTTATATAGGGTAATTGACACTAATTGTAATGTAGGCTAAGGCAGTGCCGCAACCACGAAGCTTGAGGAGATAACATCAGCACTGGAATACACTGTGCGAAGTACAAGTGCCATGGCTGAGGTATAATCAAGATAGGAGATACATGTAGAACCGACGCAGGAATTAAAGGGGAAGTTAAGGCAAAAATTAAAATTTCACCAGTTGTAGTCTTCGGGGTGCTGAGTCGAATGGTCTTGGTCCGAGAAAGCTGAGACGCTCCCTTCCTACTTGAATCCCAATCGAACTCGCGCACTTCCACCGAAACTGGGTGACTGCGCCCTACTAGATGGGGATTTATATGCAAAATGTTACTAAAAGCGCCATTTCGTTCTTATAAAAGCACGGATGACCGCGATTGGCCCATATGTTGTAGTCTTTTGGACGCTGAGTCGACTGGTTTTGGTCCGAAAAGGCTGCGATGCAGCGTTCCTCCTTTATTCCCAATCGAACATGGTTGAACAAGCAGTCACGTGCTCCTGCGTACACCAGTCAGCTGGTCACCGTGCCTGCAGGGTACAACTTACTAGCCTTTTTGACCTTTTTTGGGTGCAGTCCTGTCACTCGAGTTGAACTCAAGTTGAACCTTGGTGTGAAAGTTGTCGCCTGCTGGCGTAGTGACCAGGTGATTTGGGCACCCAGGAGCACGTGACCACTTGTTCAACCATGTTCGATTGGGAATAAAGGAGGAACGCTGCATCGCAGCCTTTTCGGACCAAAACCAGTCGACTCAGCGTCCAAAAGACTACAACATATGGGCCAATCGCGGTCATCCGTGCTTTTATAAGAACGAAATGGCGCTTTTAGTGACATTTTGCATACAAATCCCCATCTAGTAGGGCGCAGTCACCCAGTTTCGGTGGAAGTGCGCGAGTTCGATTGGGATTCAAGTAGGAAGGGAGCGTCTCAGCTTTCTCGGACCAAGACCATTCGACTCAGCACCCCGAAGACTACAACTGGTGAAATTTTAATTTTTGCCTTAACTTCCCCTTTAAGTAGGTTTCAGTGGGAGTTGTGTCACGCCAAAGGGTTGGGTAATATGTATATATATACACACGTGAGTGCGTGCATGCACGCAAGCATGGATGATTGGGTCATCCGTTGAAATCCGTCCGGCCAGAACAGAAATTGACCATAGTGAATCGATGCACACACGTGTGCTACAGAGCACTGTACAGTGCTGGCCAGTAGAATCCGACACCTTCATGGCTCGAGAACTGTTCCACGGTTTGGCCACATCATCTAACGACTAACGTGTACTCTAATGAAAGTCCTAATTCGAGCTACATCACCAGTCAGTCAATCAGTCAGTCAATCAGTCAGTGAGACCATCAACGGCTGCAGTTTGGGTGTAGCCCTCCTACCATGTGTAATTTTACACAGCCTGCGGGAACGTTCTGAGCTCAACTGAACACCTTGGCTTCAGCCACGTCTGATGATGATGATGATGGCTGGTTTATTTCGCATATCCAAACGGAGGTTTCTTCCCCATAACAAGGCAGCGAAGAGATAAGGAATACGAGAGGGAAGAGATGCATGTGAAATGTGTGTGTGTCTAGATTCTAGTATTCTGTCGTGGGCTCACCTCGTCTGCCATACTGGCTAGCAATCAAGGGGAACAGTGGAAGCTTGATCCGTGCCACTGCGTACCAATCCCCAGCTTTTCTCGGAGCACAAGACAAGTGCGACCGTTCTGCTTCAAGTTAGTTTCCTATGCTGCGGGATGTGCTGTATTGTTGTCCACTATTACGTGTGCGGACCAGTGGCACTGGCAGGAATGTTTGTTTCTCAGACTACAATAAGTAAGTTACTACTACTAGTAGTTACCTAGCGAAGGCAGAGCATAGATGTACGCTAGGTGAAACATCGAACACAACAAGCACTCAACAGAGATCACTGGTACACCCCGAACGCTCAAATCGGGGTTTTTTCATTGCACTGCTCCTCCACAGCTCTCGCTCTGTTGTCTGTTTATTCTCTTGCCTGCCCACGATCGACTCCGCTGTCACTTGCCTTGCAGTGAACTAAAATTTGAAAATGACACCCGGTCATCCGATGGCATATGCATGGTTGCGTGACCTGGTGACGACCCTTTCCTCCACGGGTCCACTCCAGTCTGGTTCGGGAAGATGTGTTTTAGGAGTCGTAAAATGCGACTCCCTGTTTGACCGGGAAGCGGTTGGGAGTTGTCCCGGGAAACGCTTCGCTCATTTATTTTAACGGAAAGTCATGAATACTCATGATTATGCCTGTCATGACGTCATCTACAAGTGGCACGTGAAGAAAACTAAAATGCCAAATCAAATTTTCAAACCCCTTCGAAGATACTCAGTAAGATGCCAATCATCATGATTATGTAGAATGCCCGTTCTCTTTCAATCCAATGAAATAGCTTGCGGCTGCTGTTAGATTTACTAGAATAGCTCAGTTGTAATCACACAGTGTTCGATATGGACCAGTACCTTGCATCAACGCTTTCTGTAAGTTACAACTCTGAATGAACTTGTTGTTCTAAAGTTTGGGGTGATAATCTTCCCCGAAGACAGCATGTGGGTACGATTTGATGTTTTGTCTTCACTGAGTCTCTATTATGAGCTCTCCATCTATCACGAATAGTTTTGTCCCTGAACCTTTTTCCAAAGTAAGTTTACACTGCGCATCCACTGGTGCAGTTCAGCAAAAAAAGTACACCTTGCCACCACTGAACGTGACTGAAGTGTAGCATTTTCTGATCATAAGTCTCTCAAATATCAATAAAAACTACACTGTTCCTCACTCCATACATACCAGCACTGGTTCCACTGCATAAAAAGCATATGCGATGATCTCGTTCCGCATATCGGATCTCCTGTATAAAACAGTTGGTCCTACTCCTAAAGAGTTTGCTGTTGAAGTAATGAAACACATCACTGGTAGAGCATACAGTACTGATAAGGTGTGCAGAAGAAGCATATTGCTGCAGAAAATGCTGTTGTAGAAACTTACTACAGTGCTGGAAAGGACACTAACCTGCGGCAGCACCTGACACCAAAACAGATCCAGAACATGAGCTGTTCAACTTGACACCAAGCTAGTTTGCTGGATCTTTGTGTGTGGGTTGTCACTGGTGTGTCTATTTTGCGCAGTCCGGTCAACGGAAGGTACGCATCTGCGATGTCAATCCGCACATTGTGTGCTCGCTGTGTGCTGGCTACTTCATCGACGCTACCACCATCACGGAGTGCCTGCACACGTGTAAGTCTTGTCGCCATTATGACATTGACCATACTGTCATAATTATTAGAACGTGCTACTTGTAGTACGACTATTTATGTGGGCCGATCTCTGTTGATGTGCAAGGTGCCCTGCACTGTAAAAGCCCGACTACAGTAAAACCTGTGACTAACGACCACCCCTTGGGGTCAGAGAAAGCGGTCTTTAGTGGCAGGTGGTCCTTAGTTAGAGGTTTGCACCGCACTACCATATAATGAATGTGAGACCGTCCGTGCCTGGCGAAGTGGTCTGTAGTACCAGGCTGGTCGCTAGTCACGGTGGTCTTTAGTTACAGGTTTTACTGTACTTGTGGTTGTTACGTAGTCACGCTGTTATATCAGGAGTTCTATACATGTACCGAGGGACAGCACCTGCACTGGTATGCTACACCATATAAGGCAGGTAACTACCATGATGCCATCTGGACAATCTTTCAAAAACCTTCCGTGCATCGCAATCTACGTAAACGTAAAAATTCCTAACTCCATGAAATGCAATTCCGTGATTTTTCAACTCAGGGAGAAGAAGTAATTACACTAATTTAATAGCGCGGAAAAGAGTTTATCGAGAAACTCCGGAAGATAAGTTTTTCTTGAAATAAGGAAGTATCCAAAGCGACTAAACTGCTTGATATCATGATCTCAAACTTGTTTTGTCCGCCTACTGACAGCTGGAGAAGGCCTGCTTCCTGTCAATTTCGCATAGAAAATGTAGATGATGTATTGGTTTCTTATGATGTTGTTTGTGCATTGCTGGAGTCGCATGTTGACTGATGGTGATACAGCTGAGTTTTGGGTAAAACTTTTGTTCATGTGTGTGCCGTCTGTGTATCCAGTTTGCCGGTCGTGTATAGTCAAGCACTTCCAACTACATAAGACATGTCCGACATGCAATGAGAAGGTCCATGAAACTCAACCACTGCTGACGCTGAAATCTGACCGCACCATGCAGGACATTGTCTTTAGGCTGGTGCCCAATCTGCAGCGAGGTCAGCTAGCAGTGTGTGTGTGTGTGTGTCTGTGTGTGTGTGTGTGTTTGTGTGTGTATGCATGTGTGTGTGTGCGTGCGTACGTGCGTGTGTGTGTGTGTGTGTGTGTGTGTGTGTGTGTGTGTGTGTGTGTGTGTGTGTGTGTGTGTTTGCACTAGTGCACATGTGTTCTCCTCACACACACACACACACACACACACACGTTTGAGCCTTGGAGGTGGTTGTTCGCAGTCTGTTTTACATATCGTGTGGAGAGGTACATGAACAGTATTCACAACATCATCGTATCATGTTCATTCTTGTGTGCTACTGTGTTGCTGGCCCACTGGAACCTGCCGCACCGGTGCACTCACAGACAGGATGAGTAAGGTTGAACCCTCCATATCTTGAGATTTTTAATGCTTCTCTTGTGTTTGCGACTGGTGTTGGTTTGCTTGTAGAGGAAATGCGGCGCTGTGAGGAGTTTTACAAGGCGCACGGTGTGACCACAGCTGGTGAGTTGTTTGGCAGTGTTGTAGCTTCTTCACTCAGCGTACACTCACCGAGTAAGGTTGATTAGCTTCTGTGTCCCGTGCATCATGTCAGGGGTTAAACATGAGTAGCGTGCTTCCGATTAGATCCCGTTGTGGCCGCTACAGTTGTGGCAAGTGAAATCAGAACTCAGGTGCACTTTCAGCACCAAAGGCAAAGGCACGCTTGGCCTCAAGACCCTAGGTGTTATCTCAAGTACACCTACACGGTTTTATCCAAATTGATTTGCAGCTCTGGGAGTGAACGTTTGTGTGGGTTTTACTTGCCGTGGCTGTGCATTGGACTTTACGACTCTTGCCTTGTACTTCCTTTTTCCAATCGTTGCCATGGTTATGTGCCATTGTGCTCAACATGTATGTTGTGCATGCGTTGTTCATGTGTTGTGCACGTGGTGTGCATGTGGTGTGCATGTGTTGTGTCGTGCACCGTCTTGTAGGAGATGGCCATGCATCGCGTAGCTCTTCTAATGCTGAAGTGTCTACACATATACCGGTCAATGATGAAAGCCTGTCACTGAGAATCGAGAGGCACCCGTAAGTTGCTGCACATGTATGTAGTGATGGTGGTTGTGGCTTGATATTGGCTGTGACCTCATTGGTGAGCTGGTAATATCACCTCATCAGGGAATTGGTGTTCACGAGTCTGGCACCACCTCTTGCCTTCTTTCCCAAGCTGCATTTCGTGCCGGAATAGCTGTGCTGGTGGTATTTGTTCTAGGATCCTTGTGGAAAGTTGTGTGCGTGTGCAGAATGCATAGCGACAGCATGGAGACATTCCAGCAGCATAGCACACTGTTGTCGTATTCTTGGAGAGAAACTCCACCGTAACCAAGTCGCATAGTGTTTTGGCTTTTTGAATTAGTATCTCTACACTTCATTCTTCTTCACTTGAAGACAAGTACGAGTATAGTTTTATTGTTTGTTGTTCTGCCATTGTTTTTACTCTACAGAGAGTGGGAAGAGGATTCACGTGTTTGCAAGGTAGTAACCCATTCTGGTGGCTTTGTTGAATGCTAGTACAGACTTGCATAGGATAGTGATGATGCACTAGTGAGTTTTATTTTCCACTGGAAGTTTCTCGAAACTTGGTATGCTGCGTGGTTGAGCCAAGCAATGAGCTTCTACAGTAAAACCTATGAAGGCGATCACTCTGATAACTTAGGTCGCCACCTGTCCCAGAGGACCACCACGGCTCGGACCAAAGAATGTTTTTGTTTAGTTGTTTGTTTGTTTTTTCAGTCAAAAGGCCCTGGATAAGAAGACCGCCGCCAGTACAAGCATGAGACTAGCCTCTTTTTTTTATCTCTCCCTTCATTTGTATATGTGTCTGTGTATGTGTGTCTGTGTCTGTGTATGTGTGTCTGTGTATGTGTGTTTGTGTCTGTGTGTCTGTGTCTGTGTTTTTCTTTGCCATCGTAGACTGTAAAGCAGCTCTATATACGTTGCTCATCACACACAACACTCCTCCACGTGAAGAAGTATTTAACGCAGAAGTTTTCAGTTCCGCCGATATTGGAGGTACGGGCGGCTATGGTTGAAACGCTGAGCCTTCTCGATCTGTTTGCCAGTCTGTCTTTGGAGTATGCACTTTGAAATTAGGGCTGTAGTGTGCACATGGTGTGTTGGACTAGAACGGTTAGGTGAACTTGGAATGTCCGCGTATCTTTACTTTGTGAAGCTGCTTGTATATCACATGTAGTACTGATCCGTTCTTCAGACTTACAAAGCGTGACATGGTGCAGTCTGCACAAGTGTTCTTCCTAGCATAGGTTTCCACCGTCATGTTCTCTAACGGGCGCCTACGGTCTTTTAAAAATTGTGTGTCTATCGGTTTGATGTTCCCTGTGTTGTGTATATTGTGCGTGCGCTTGTGTGTGTGTGTGTGTGTGTGTGTGTGTGTGTGTGTGTGTGTGTGTGTGTGTGTGTGTATGTGTGTGTATTGTCCTACTGTCCCTTTTTGTCCCCTGAAAGGTTGAGCTGCTATGCAATGAGATTGTGCTGCATAAAGACTACACGCTCAAGTTTGTCTGGTTAGCGCAGTGGCAGAAACGAGTAAGTCAATCACAATGTTGTGATGGATCAGTGCCCATTAACCAGTGTTTGTTGATCAGTGTTGAATCACCAGATTAGGCCACACGTTTTTATTTCTATGTTTGTCGTCACCTGAAAATCTAAAAACGTATGCGAGAGGTGGAAAAAAATAAAAAAAAAGGTTTACTAGACCTTTGTTCACACGGAAATCCTCCAATACACCATGCAAAATAGCATCCATAGTTAGCAACTAGTATGTGGTAGGAGCTTCTGTCACAATCTGTGCATGTGCAGCTAGATTGCACACAAAAAATGCCGACCTCGCATCATGTGTCGCGCAGGCCAGGCCATATATGTACATGTGCATGAGTGTGCTGGTCCCCACATGCACTGTCAGTGCAGCACAGTTTTTTTTCTTTTTTTTCTTCTAGACTCCTGAATCGTATGCGCGCGGGTGACGAGAAACATAGAAATAAAAACGTGTGGCCTTATAGGGATGTACTAGTCTATCGGGATGTACCAGTCTATCGGGATGTACCGGTCTGTAGGGATGCACCAGGCAATAGGGATGTACCAGTCTATAGGGATGTACCAGTCTATAGGGAAGCACCAGTCTATAGAGATGTGCATGCTTCTTTTCCTGTTCAATGCACCATTGTGTAAAGAAATCGCGACTGAAGACGCTGCATGTCATTGTAAAAGTGGTTTTCGTGTCGCGTGCCCTTTCTTCCCATTTCTGCAGGACCCTCCTCTTGTCATCCACTATCGGCTGCGAGTGCATGTGGGTTAGCCGCCGCCATGTCTTGCATGTTCAGTCAGATAGCTGTATCGCTTCTCTCTATCTTGTTTAAAACTTTGGCTTGTACATACGGTGGCCGCCGTCATCTTGTGTGTAAATATGCTGCTTTTTGTGGAGCCGATGAACTGCTGTAAATTACTGTACAAAGCTGTGTGTGTGTGTGTGTGTGTGTGTGTGTGTGTGTGTGTGTGTGTGTGTGTGTGTGTGTTTGCGACTGCTATCACTGGTGCTGCTGAGTGTCTACAAGTGCTTCTAAATTAGATATGTGTGTTTTACTCGCTTTAGTGTGTCTCCTGCACCTGTTGATCCTCCCCCCCCCCCCCCTCCCCGACATGTCCGTGTTGGTGCTTTCCTTCGTGTGTTGTTAGTATTTTGTTGACCATGCTACTATAGTTTGCGTATGTGTCTATTCAGCACAAGTGTACCCCCCCCCCCCCCCCTCTGCCGTACAAGAATCCCAGGTTTATTTCCATAGCTACTCTTTCCGAATTCCGAATTCCACTGGTCATGTACTCTTTCCTAGTCAATGTGCTTCTTGCAGCAGCTGCCCATGTACAACTAGTTGTTATTACTTACAACACACGTGTGTGTGTGTGTGTGTGTGTGTGTGTGTGTGTGTGTGTTTGTCTGTGTCTGTCTGTGTGTATGTCTGTGTCTGTCTGTGTGTGTCTCTTAGCTCTTAGCCGGCTTATTGGTTTTTTGTTCCAATACAATTCCATATTGTCTTGGCTCATGGAGCTGTCAGACAATGTGTGATAAAGATCTACTAGGTGTTGTGTGTTGACTCCTGGACGTCCTGGTACATGTGCATGCGAACGTGACGTGGCTGGTGTGCACTATGTCATTGCTAGTAGTGGATACTCTCCTGCACACCCTATAATGCATGCCATTCTGCTCCAGTAGTCGTCGGTTATAACTAGTAGTCCCATGTCACGTTTGATGCTTGTACAGTTCCTCGCTTCTCGTCACCATTAATTCACTTCTCTGTCTTGGGTTTGTGTCATATCTGCACCAACAGAGTACTCATGCTTGGAAGCAGGGAGTAGTAAAGTACTGGTATTTTACTACTCCCTGCTTGGAACAATGCATGCTACAGGCTGCACTGTGATACCAGGCCAGTCACAAGTTGAGTGTTGGCTGACATATCAACCTGCTGACTCCTGTTGGTTATGACCTTGATCAGTTGATAACGGCTCGCGTTAATGTTGACCGTATACATTGTATTTGCGTTGGTAATACCAGCACTGTACACGGTCCACGTTGGACGTCTAACAGTATGAACAAGGCTATTCTATAATGACTTTGTTGTTTCTGTATAGCTATTCGCTGTCACTGTGATAGGTTCAGGTTTGTTCAACCTCCAGGCTTCAGCTTCAAATGAGGGTGTCAAGTGCTACGTGCTGGAGTGGTGAAGTCGGACCTGAAGTCCAGACCGCTGATTGTTCGGTGACAGTTGACGGTGTCATGTAAGCATGCCTGTGTGGTATGCGTGTGTGCGTGTGTGTATATGTATGTGTGTATGTGTGTACGTGTGTACGCGTTGGAGGTGTGCAGTAGTCTCCTATCAGCTCACATTTTGTAAAATTCACACGTTGGATAAAGATTAAAGTGGCGATTGCAGGGCATTCTTTGTGGTCTCATGTTACAGATTATTTTCGTGAAATGTGGCTTCCCGAAGCACTTTACACCACTGTTGCAGAATACACGGTTGGGCTATTTCACCGGCGGCCACACTACTGACTAGGGGCTAGGGGCTAGTCATACAGAGCGGGTGCTGGTAGAGAATGGTGCAGGTGCTTGTACACTTAAAACTCCCAGTGATGTAGCTATCCGCTGTCGCACCGTGCTGCTCTACTCATGTTAAAGCAATGGTACGTTTCGACATGAAATGAGAGTTGTGTGAGGTGTGTCGAGCAAGATTATGAGTGCATTGCTTTCAAATCCGATAACTTTAGGTAAGCCCAACAGCCTTGCTTTCAAATTGGTTGGGTCGATGTAAGCTTGATGGATTTGAAAGCAGTACGCTTCCATATCGATGCTTCTCACTTTGATGTACAAATGGAGATCTTCAGGATACGGAGGCTCCACTATAGCCAGTCCATCATACCTTGGGATCAGCACCACCACAACCAGCACAGCCATCACCACTGCCACCGCCACCACCATCACCAGCACCAGCACCACCACCATCAGCAGAAGCAGCATAACAACTAAAAAGTCACAGAAGCACCAATGGTGATAATTTTAAGACAGCGTATTATTTCAAGTTGTAGCGTCTTAGACTGTGGTGCTGGGGGTTGTGGTGCTGGGGCTCACTGTTTTTACCAGCAAAACGCTGTGATGTTTAAAACATTGCAGCGTTTTGCTGGTGACACACCCTGTTGCATAACCTGCACTTGTGGATAGATTTTGAATGGGACCTGGGTGGAGAAGAATGTTGCCTTTCCATATTTAGCTACGTTAGAAACGAGTGCAGTCTTGATTGTCCCAGGCTATGTCAGAACACTTGGAAGTATGTGTTTTGAATGCAGCATGCAGCAGTCACTAAACCAGAGTGTTTCTGCCGCCAAACGCTTATCTCCCCAAGGACAATTGTCAGCTAGAATGAGCGAGCGGTGAGTTCTTTCTGGCCTCTTTGATTGCAGCCATGAGCTAGGGCTGTGAGCGGCTTAACGAGGTGTTGGAATTGATGTCAGTACATGTATGTAAAGTTATTAATGGGATTGGAGCCTGCATGCACTTCACTGGAAAATCCACTGTCTATGTGTCATATGCATTTTGTATAATTAGACCGTTAATCTGCTCTCGGAGAAGCAGTGTAGCAAACGGAGCAGGATTGGCGGGGACGTGGGAATTTTCTTCGCATAACATGTATGCAACAGATCCTTTCAATATGGCGAGCATGTTTTGCAGGCAACCTGGCGTCTGTCTCAAGCCAACGGGTGTCTTTAAGCAAGATTTGATGCAGATCTGAGGACTATTCTTTAAATTCTATCCACAACGCATCACTGCAACTAGAACTTTTTGACATGACGATGCGTTGTTGAGCCTTCACCCCTGCTGTGCTACAAGCAATGGCCATAGGACATTAAAAACAGTGTTTGCTGTTGTTTGTAGGGACTCCAGTACTGGGTGGCGTTGTAAACTAGTGGAAGCTACTGGTACCACTGGACCGTAGGCTGAAAGTTGATAAGATTCGTAGCTGACAGGGGTTGTTGCCATCTGCGATGAGGCCATAAGCAGGTTGTGCTGCTCTTGCTGCAGACAGACCAATGCCAGTGACTCTAGTTGGCTACTTTTGCTAGGATATCTCTTGCAACAGCTGTCAAATCTCTTCCATGCCTGCCACTTCTGTCTGCCACATGTAGTCCTAGTCACTAACTTCAGTGTAGTCCCAGACTGCCAGACTGAGCCAGTTGCATTGCTTCCCTCTGGCTTTTGCCACTGAATGGCCAGACTTAGCACATGTGCTGAACTGCGCCTTGCGGACGTGCAGTCATCTCCCCCTAACTGACCCACTCACTCGTCTCAAGCCAAGGTACACACGCACAGGAACACAGGGACGCACAGTCTTTTCTCTGCACTGGACTGCAGACTTCACTCTGACCGAGTCAGCATGTCTGAGGAGTCCGCATTTAGACCTAACTGAGTAGACCTGCCTACAACTGATGTTTTTTTGTAGACTAGTGCTCAGTGCGGCGCTGTGACGTCTTGTCAGCCTCCTCACAAACCACCGGTCTTTGAGGGTTCCGCACCTGCCATCACTAATCTCCCTGTGCTCTCCAGTTCTCTCCCCCTGGCTACAAGCTCTACGCTGTTCTTGCTCTCTGTGCCCCGCACGTGCGTTGGCAGTACGGACCTGTATGGCAACGGTGCACTCACGTGATGATGTAGGCGAGACGTCAGACGATCATACAGTTGCTAAGTGCTATGTACGCTGAGCATGACTCCTGTCGCGCGCTGCAGCTGCGGCTGTCCACTGCACTCTCTCCGGCGCTGCTGCTTGAAACAGTTCGGAGTCGTTCATTCTGAAACGGGACGAATCTATCAGCGTGCAATTACTATTTCTGTGGCGAATTCTCCGCTGCAATGGACGCCTGAGGAAGATTTTGTCAGAAATTATTTTCCTTCGCGCAGCACCAAAGTGCAGACACTGTAGAAGATATCACGGCATGGCGGTCCATGCAACGAGAAGAAGACACAGTTTCGTGACAAGTAATTGGCTACAAATGTTGCCACTAGTTCTTGCAGGAGTATTGTGGTCAGTCCTGTCCACTGGCAGATTCACACTCCTCGCTTCTGCCGAAAGCAATGTAATATTGCCGTCACATACCTATGGCGAAGCTGCAGCTACAATCACACCACCACAACCGCAGCCGTCCGCACACCTCCAGGAAATTGTTATGAGCGGCTCCGGCGAGCCTGATCCGGACACAGGTGTTTGGGAGAATAGCACTAACTCCTGGCGTTCGCTCGGGCAGCTGCAGTCATTGGCAGCCCAGCAAGTAGACGACCACTGGCCAAATCTTCCTAGTCTTTCTGACACGGCGTCTCAACAAGTTGTGTCTCGACTGGTAAATATGACGCTAAGCAATGTGTTCTCTCAACCCCCCGGTAAGGTTCCCAGCTTGCACTGTTTTTTTCTTCTTCTCAGTAATGGGTACCCTTCAACTTCAAGTTAGTTCCAGCAGTCCAGCTTGGCTTCTTTGCGCAGGGCTGGATTGTTCTGGATGCTTAGGGCAAGACCGCCACCGGACTGACGTTGTGGTGGCGTGTATGCCCTGCAGCGCTTCGTCCGTCCCTAGATCAGTGTATGCCATTGTATAATGCCAATAATATTGCTTCCAGGCCGTGAACTGCAGACCAGAATGTTTGGCAGTTTCGACTGGAGGAAGTCACAGTTAAACTTTGCCTCCTATCATAGTATGCGTCCTTTCATGATGACAAGCAGCCATGATTATTAGTTTTTCCAGTCAAAACTCTCCACGTCCATGTCCGTGATTGCTGCAACGCACACACATACACTCACTCAGCTGTTTGGTGACAGTCAATAGAACAACCCTTTTGTCTGTGCTGCCTGCATGCTGCCTGGTCTGGGCTACTAGTACTAAGCCAGCACATGACAAGATAGCCTGGACTCGCCGCCCACTTAAAGTCTTTAGTCCTGCTTTGCACTGGGATGTGTTTTGTCAGTGTAGGAAGTTTCCCACGGATGATGGGTGGACAGTGGGCTGGAGACTGTAGTCTACCCAAACTCCTACTCATGACTCATGGGACTTGTGTAGCTTTTCTGCCATTGTAACTACATGACTTGTACTGAATTCTACAAACATTTTTCACTTACTGGTAGATCTACTTGACATTGTTGTAGTAGTAGTACTCATGAAGGATATCATTATTTGCGTAGTTCTAACTTCTAAATGTGGTGAAACACAAGTTCATAACAGACAGGAACATACAGTGCTTTAGCCTACCCACTGCTGCTGACACTCTGTGACCTCAGACTAAACTAAGCTAGGGTAGTAAGGATTCTATCAGTTCAGGGAGCTAGCTGGGTCAGTACAGTGGGTGCTGTGCTGTTCATTCACCTGGGACATGTTCTGTCTGTTGACAATACATTTGACATTTGACTCCTGAGTCCTGGTGATCCTTATCATGTACCACCCTGTACCCCAGCCAGGTTGGTGCTTCATGTCCTATGATGTAGCCAGTTTGTCACTGGGCACATTGGTACTTCATGTCCTATGATGTAGCCAGTTTGTCACTGGGCACATTGGTGCTTCATGTCCTATGCTCCTATGTAGCCAGTTTGTCACTGGGTATGAGTGGGCTTAGTGATGTGGGACAGCTGTTGCCTATTTAGATCTACATCAGTTTTGCAACCTGTCTTTGCCATTGCATTGGTGCTGCACATGGTTTAGACCAAGATAATTGTTGTGATGATAACAGTGCAAGGCAATATAGATATGCCATGGTGTAGCAAGACAAGTGTGGTGTAGCAAGACAGGTAGACCTGTGTAGACTAACAAGATACCCAATGGCAATGCTGTAGACAGCAAGCTCAGTCATCTAGGCCACACATACACAATGTGTATACAATCCACTGTGTGGTAACAGGTAGTGGCTGCATGACATTGTAGCAGTTTTGATGGGTTCACCAGTTCAACTGTTCTGAATGGCTCCTGACCCTGTCCAGCTAGCTGAGTATGACAGCAAGTCACAGCCTCAACACACTGTAGATAACACAGATAAACTAGCCATCATGGGCAACAATTGCCCAACTGATAATCCTGGTAATACATGATTGTTGTACCTGCAGCCATCATTGCCTGGCTTTGACTGGCTAGTGATCATGATGGTGTACTACTACTACTAGAGAGATTGTGAGATGCTTTCTTTGCAACACAGCCACTGCAGCTTTTGGAACTGCTTGGAGCAAAGTTCACATTCCCACTCACAGCCACTGTGACCTCACAATGTCACATTCCCACTCAAACTAGTCAAAGCCATTGTGACTGTTGCATTCCCACTCAAAGCCACTGTGACTGTGCATTGTATTGTTACTGGCACGTAGTAGTAAAATATCTATTTTTACTTTTTACTACTCCCTGGTTACCAGTCACCTGGCCACCCTGTCAAGCCCACTTTTGAGACCTTCCATAGCCTTATGTGAGGTGTAATTATGGTAGTGTTGCATGCAGAAGCATGGGACCCCATGTAGGGAGCAGCACACACTAAGCATGATACCCCATGTAGGGAGCAACACACACTAAGCATGAGACCCATGTAGGGAGCAACACACACACACTAAGCATGAGACCCATGTAGGGAGCAACACACACGTCCCCTACGCGTACTATGGTGAGTTGTAACCAGTTTATACTGGCAGCTCATGATCATGTGACCTAAGTAAACATGCACATATCACTGAGGTGTCTTAGACACACACACACACACACACACACACACACACACACACACACACACACACACACACACACACACACACACACACACACACACACACACACACACACACACACACACACACACACACACACACACACACACACACACACACATACACACACACACACCCACACATCATTGGAGACAAACCACACTGTTTTGTCTTGAGAGTGTGTGAGAGCTGTGCGCCAAGTACATTCCCCAGCACTATTCCAACAGCAGTTACCCGCTTTCTTTTTGGACGTCTTCAGTGTATTTTAATTTCAGATCAAGTTGTCTGTACTCTCCTTGTTTTATTGTGTTCAAGCTGTGCTAACTGTTGTGTTTGTGTGCTGGTGCTGGTATGTGCTGGTGCTGGTGTGTGTTCATCTTGACCCTGTGCAGCAACACAACCCATAATGACATACACGGATATAACAAACAATGGTATCCTCGACAGCTCTCTGATCCAAGTCCGCAGCGTCCTGCCGTTGCCGTTTCTCCACTACTATCCCGGCGATCTCCTGGAGAGCAACTTCTCTGTACTCGCCCGAGTGAATTACTCCACGCTGGCCAATCCATTCAATACGTATTTATTTGCTATAGCTGACAACTCGGGTTATATACGTGTGACTGCGGTAGTCAGCGACCATTCGCTCTACATCACCTGGAGGAGGGATCCGCTGGACGCAACACAGGACATCACGCTGCAGTTCCAGGTGGACATGGACGTTCTGCTTGAGGACGAGCTTGTGGTGCTCTCCGCCGGTATCAACAACAACATCGGTGTGTTGATCTATCACGGTAACGAATGCCGGCCGGACCCGTTCTTTGCTGTCGGCACCGTTAACAACTCCGCCGACTTTCGCCTAGCCACGGAAAACTGGACTCACCCCGAGGTAAGGCACTGACTACATTTGGGTATCGGACACCCACTGGCGTGCCGTGATCCAAGAGAGGTATTTTTTTTGTTAGGCATACTAATACGTGGTTAGGGCCGATTTCCACTACCGTACCGTGAGTGCCGTGCCGACGATTTGGATGGGTCGCGTGCACCCCACAGTACGTGCTTGAAGCCGGATCACCATTTTTATCAATTATTTCTGACTTGGTCTGGAGGGAAAATTGTGCTATAGCGGGGGAGATGATAGGAGAAAGCTCAAAAATCAACTAATCGAAAAGCCAAAAGCAGAAAAAACTTCGCACCACAAATACCAAAGAAAGAAAAAAACTTTGTTTGACTTCCTATCAGGGAGTAGTAAAATACCTAAATTGTACTAATCACTGCATTTGACCTCTCGGAATACCACGGCATGCACCCCCCCCCCCCCCCAGAGGCCCTCGGCACCAGAATAGCCACGGTGCGGTGATTGGAGAAAGCTCAAAAATCAACTAATCGAATAGCCAAAAGCAGAAAAAACTTCGCACCACAAATACCAAAGAAAGAAAAAAACTTTGTTTGACTTCCTATCAGGGAGTACTTCCTCCGTTAACAAAAACTTCGTGATGGATTTTTGAGGGGCTGATTTAGGCACAAACTGCCGTGAAATGAGTCGCAATCACTTTCTTGGCCTTCCCTGGCATGCCATGAAAGAGATACGATACAAGGAAAGCGACCTTTCACAACAAGCCTAGCGGAATCGATGGTTGCGCTGTGGAAACATAGGTGATGACAGTCATGGCGAGCGAAACTAAAATACCACTTCTCCGAGGAGATATTGCGCTGCTTGACCTCTCTACCACTTTAGCACTGAGTAAGTTGGAGAGTGATAGAGAGCGATAAAACGGAGCAGCGAGCCCACACAATGAGCGAGTGCACAAGGAGCTGCTCCAATCGCACGGCACAATGAAAATAATTCTGAACTCAAGTTCTTGTTCAACCTGCGCAAAGCCCAGATACGAATGCTGATGACCGTGCATTCTTTCAGAAGTCTGCAGTCCGATGCGAGTCTCGTAGCTAAAGAAAGTCGACTGGACTTGCTAGCCGCTGCCGTTCAGTGCTGGCAGGGGTATTCATTAGAGAAAATGGAATCAGTTTGGCTTTGCCTTTACTCCTCGTTCCGCGGAGTTCTGGAGAGCGAAGATGAAACCAGTGAGTCGTAAAATATTTTTCACGACTCCCTGGTGGAAACGAGTAATTACCATCGCGGCGGATCACGCAGCTTAAGCCTGCTTACTTGAACGACGGCGACATCAAGGTCAGCGGAGCGTGATCAAAGAAGCCGAGGCAAGGCTGAAATGAGCTGAACAACGACTCGAGAGAGAGATGACGACTCGCGTGCAGCAGATGACGACAGCGACGCAGGTCAAAAATGAGTCGAGCGAAAGCGACGCAAACTGAACTCTCTGCTCATTCCACCAACAGTTTCTCTTGTAAAGACGCTGTACATAGGCTGAATCACCTTCGTCCAGTGATTTGCAGTTGATACAAACTGTTCTTGACCTGTTCTAAGCGTTTTCGTATCGATCAAAATCCATCACGAAGTTTTTGTTAACGGAGGAAGTAGTAAAATACCTAAATTGTACTAATCACTGCATTTTACCTCTCGGAATACCACGGCATGCCACCCCCACCCCCCCCCCCCACCCCAGAGGCCCTCGGCACCAGAATACCCACGGCGCGGTGATTGGAGAAAGCTCAAAAATCAACTAATCGAAAAGCCAAAAGCAGAAAAAACTTCGCACCACAAATACCAAAGAAAGAAAAAAAACTTTGTTTGACTTCCTATCAGGGAGTAGTAAAATACCTAAATTGTACTAATCACTGCATTTGACCTCTCGGAATACCACGGCATGCCCCCCCCCAGTGGCCCTCGGCACCAGAATAGCCACGGCGTGGTACGGCACGAGCCACGGAATAAACTCGCGCCAAAACTACCCCCCCCCCCCCCATGAGCAAATCACCATTGGTACTCACGACACGGCACTCACGGTACCGTAGTGGAAATCGGCTCTAACAAGAGGGTGGTGGTGGTGATGGAACTAATTCACATACCAAAACATGTACTTCAAATAGAAGCACAGTAAAATGTGTTGAGGTGACTACTCTAGTGAGGCGACCACCTGTCCTGGAAGACCACTACAAGTAGAACCAAGGGATGCTATTTCCAGTCAAATGGCGAATGACACCGGATAAGAAGACCACCTGACACACAGGGACCACATGTGTAAGGTCTCATGAACGGTCGGCTTAGACAGTTTTCACTCTACTTTCCATTCTTTCTATGCCACATGTGAACCTGAATTGCACATCCGCATTACAGCCGGCTATGAAATCTGTTTAGAAATGCAACTGGCTTACAGTAGGGAGTAATTGTTGCTCAACTCAGTGCATCCCAGCGGTTCGTAATTCTTCATTGCTCCCTCTCTGCCTTTGGTTGTTTATGTGTGCGCGACAGAACGCCCTATGCACTATCGTGGTGGGGGATGAAAGTGATCTTGCCAGCACCACGTGCAACATACAATGGTCGTCGCTCACCTGCCACTCAGCGTACAACTTGTCCATAGCCCCGCCTGAACTGGTAAATGCTCTCTCTCTCTGTATCAAAGCTAGTGCATGTACTGTTGTTTTAAATGGAAAGTTGGAAACCAAGCCTAAAGACATGTTCAGTTTCATGCACATTATCATCAGAGTACAGGTTAGAATTCGCACATACGCATTCCCACTCGGGCTATACAATTCGATTTCTATTTCATCAGAGTGCAGGTACATAGTCTATTCGTCTCAGTGCTACTCAAGTATTAGTATTACAGTGGAAACGTATTATCCTGCACAAATTGTACACTTTTTTTGCCAGGAGTGGAAGTCTTTCTCTGTGATTCATGGGCGTTAAAATGGCGTTGTATCACGCGAGAGGTCCAAACCCTGAAATTAACGCCAATCCATCCGTACATACTTACACAGTCAACCTCGTAAATAACAAGACAATATTCAGACTTAGTGACCATTTGACTGCACACTTTCAACCTCTCGAGTAACGACAACTCATGAATATCGACTCGTTTCTCATGCATGATCGATCGATGGTCGTTATGGGCAAGGTTGACCGTATGTACATCAGAACGTCACATAGCCAGAGCAGATCTAAGGAGAAGTCAGGCTACAAGCAAGTAGATTGACTGATCGTTCAGACAGCATCATGTACTTTACGGATCTGCAGAGTGATCAACTCTTCTTTCCCTGTTCTTTTCTTTGCATTTCTGTGCACCAAAACGACAACTCCTGAAAACTCGTCTCTCTTGACTTTGGCATTCTCTAAAGGTACTACCGTAGATAGAGAAATTCATTGATTCGAATGTTGTTGACCATATAATGTTATTATGTGTTTCTTTTCTTTCATACTCTTTTTCTAGAATGGCATGAAAGGTGCCATGGGTGCGATGGGACGCAATGGTTCAGCCGGGCTTCCGGGTGCACCAGGAATACGAGGCAGGAATGGAGAGAGAGGTTTTCCGGTAAGATATTCTAACTTGAGCTTTGGTAAAAATCACTCACTTCACCACTCTGCTGTCCTTTTCAAACTCCTGACAACAACTCCACAAAGTGCTCTCAGCCGACCCACTACACTTGCACATCACCACCATTCTCCATAGCGAGGACAATTCCGTTGATATCCTGATATTGTGCAACCTCCAGACAACTGTTCGTGGAAACACAGCTCATCCGTAGATAGTGGATGATCCGATTGAGTGAATGAACGATGTTCATTTTATTATTAAAATATGTGCATGTGTATGCGTATGTGTGTATATGTGTGTATGTGTGTTGTTAGGGTGAGCGTGGATATCTCGGTGAACACGGAATACGCTTACAGGGACATCCAGGACCGCCGGTAAGGTTCTACTCTGTACATGAAGCTAGATGAAGTTGGTGAGCATGGAGACATGCTATACCGACGCAGCATACTCCATCTATACACTGTGTAGGTTGGTGTTTCACCATTAATCAATGCTTTGTTAACTCGATGATGGCCTCTGTAGAGTTATTTTTCAGCTGCAGTGTTGCTCTGAGCAAGCAGCTTGTCGCATCCATTGTAACAATGTGTCCCAACTGCTGCTCGCCTGTGTGTGTCGTACTGTCAATGCAGGGTCCCAAGGGTGCTAAAGGTGACCCGGGTCCGAACGGTGCCAGAGGTGACAAGGTAAGCCCTATTGTCTGTACCACACGCCTTAAGCATGATACTGCCTCATGGATATGTTAGGAGAATTGTCAGTTTTCAGAAATCCCATTAATTACAGTTTCTCGCTCCACATACACCGACATAACGACATGGACCCAGACAACAGAGGCAGGAGCACACAGAGTGAGGGTAGTAGGCCGCAGCCAGATGTGACTGACACTGGTGAGACACAAAAAACTGACTGAAGGAGTCAGGCAAAAAGAACAGCAACAAAAAGAGAAAACATCAGATTCCATATTAGCAAAAAAAAATTTGTTGCGCGAGAAATCATTTCTCGCCTCTCTCGCTCCGCTCGGCCGGCGAGAAATATAACGTCTCAGCATTTTAACTCTACTTTGTGTGTTCTCATCCAGAGGAGTATGCGGAGTGTTTTTCTAAGAATCCACACACTCTGAAGCAGCCATTTACCTGTTACCCAGTCTGGTGTGAAGTATTTCTTTTATGGTGTGCAAGCTCAACTGCAGCTGGTTGAGATCGATCATAGAATTTTCAGCAAAGCGACCACTTGCTTTGATGATGATGATGATGTAAGATTTTCCGTGTTATGATGTAAAGTATTGTGGAGTGTGGTTGTTCATATAACTTACACACTCAGCTGTCAGTTCATGATTTGCTTTGCTGTTGTGTGTTTCTGATTTTGCTTGTCACTGTGCCCAGGGAGACAAAGGATTACACGGCAAGAGGGGATTCCGTGGCCTATTTGGTCCTGTGGTAAGTTTACCGGCCGTCAGCTGCTTGTGCAGAGTACACCCATCCATCACGGCGAGTGGACTGGGAATAATAACTTATTGATCCACTGTGTAGATGATGACTTGTGCAATAAGCAGTACATGGACGGGAACTTGCTGTGCACACATGTGTCTGTACACTTGTATTGCGGAGTACGAGTATTTGCCATCTATACCTGCTACTCTCTGTGTGTCGCTACTGATAGGGAGATCCAGGACTACCAGGGACACCTGGCAAGAAGGGTGGTCCAGGGCCAGCCGTAAGTCATCGTGACCTTTGCCATCAATGTTTTATGCAGAGGGTGTGTCTTTGTGATGCTGGTACCCACTGCGTGCTTGACCATACCATGGGGTTTGTATTATATGCAGTACTGTAAAGCGACAAACTTTCGCGGTGTGCAAATTTAGCGTTTTCCATAAATCGGACTGGTTCACGTTGGGAAACGTTCGCGATTCTATCTCTTCAGTCGGATCTTGTACTGTCTACAATCAATGCACGGAGAGGTTTGCAGCGATTTATATTTGCGAATGTGTGATGGTCGCGAAAATAGCGAAATTTAATCTCTAGCGAAAGTTTCTCACTTTACAGTATACAGTGTGTAGTGCAGTGAATGCAGCCACGTGTATGTGCATCGTAATTAGGAGGTAACACGTGTTAGATTGAAGCAGGCACTGTGGTGTTGGGGTCGTTTGAAGTGGGGTACGCAATAGCAAAGGTGTTTTGACGTTGTATATGCGGCCGATACGTTTTTGGGTTGGTATAATCGGACGTGGTAGTGCCCTGCTTTCCACTCAATTGATTTCATGGAGCTTCTGCACTTGTAGTATGTTGTGAGCTAAGCATAGGGATGGCCATGGCTTAGTGTACTGGCTACTGACTCCTTCTGTCTAGCCCCATCGCTGAGTGTACACCTAATGTTGCTGTTTATGACTACTTCTGCTGGTCTCTTGAACAGGGTGATTTTGGCGAGACAGGCGGTCTGGGACTGGATGGCGTAAAGGTATGTTAGGGGATGCATGTAGCCATCTGTGACTGAGTGGGTGCTCTATGTCGTACCATTGCTCTCTTTACTCATGGCCTTCCTGCGGGGAAACTAGCTAGTAATTCAATACGGTTTCTTAGCATTTTCTAATCCAGAATAGTACCAACGCAGGGCATTCAGGCTCACTTTAAATAGTGTTAACTGCGATAAGCTCTGGTTCAAGCTCTGTGCTTGTTCTAATGGATTTTCTTATGATGCCATAGCATTTTTTGACAGGCCAAGTGTTCTCTTTGGCATGCTTCTTCTCTTCGCAGGGTCTGAAAGGCTCACAGGGTCCCGAAGGTGTTCAGGGACGTGCTGGAATTGTTGTGAGTATCCTGTGTGTGGCGTGCCTGGTGTCAATTGCTTTCCTGATTGTATTTGCATAGCATACAGCTCTGTGAAAGGTACTCACTGTGGACCCCTTTGTACTGATGTGTAGGCAGATCCAACCTTCTACGAACACTGTGTATACTGTGTGCGTGCCTGCTGATGGTGTGTGTCACAGGGAGAGACTGGCAGACCTGGACCACCCGGCCATCCTGGACCGATGGTATGTATGGTAGTGAACAGGAGGGCTGTCTGCGCACT